CTAATTGTTACTGACGTGGGCTCTTGGACTCTTCAGTCAACAGGAATGGACGAGGGGCCAGGTGAGGAACCCAGGCAAGGCTTTACTGGGGCTCTGGCTGCACCAGGGGGAGCAAGAGCAAGTAACCCACGACCTTGCTCACTCCTGTTGGCGGGGGTGGGAGTGGTGAGCTGGTCCCTTAAATGTGTTGAGGGTGGGACCAGGTGCTGGGGTCGGGCCAGCAGGGCAGCTTGGGTGGTCTGCCCGCCCCCCTGGTGGGGCCCTGCTTTTGCTCCTGACACCTCAGAAGCAGCAGCTGGGTTTTGGCCTTTCTGTATCTTGTTCATATTTGCCCCAACTGTGCAGGCGTGCAGTTATTTTTAGTACCTTATAGTTTCTTTGTATCTCTTGCTCCAGGAGATGTTGGTGCAGTTGCAAGCACTGCAGCAAAGGTCTCAGGTCCCAGCCTGTCTCAGAACTGAAGCCAGCCGGGGGCCCTAGCCCCAGGCATGTCATTAGCGTTCAGAGGCACTCTTGTCACTTGGTAGATTGCAAGAGCCTTAGAAGCTCTCCTGTAGGGAACAAGGAATAGTATAAAAAGAGATGCTCCTGTCTCACCCATCCCTCAGGAAATGGTGAGAATTTAGGAGCCTGTGTTAGGAACTTAGAACAGAGACCAACATACATTTCTTATTTTATCACAACCGGATTCCAAATATAATCTGAAAAATCGTATTTTCACTTTTCTCTCCCCTTCAACTTTTTTCTTTCTTTGTTTTTCTTTATTTTCCTTTCACCCTCTCTATCCTGTCCAGAATGCTCACAATGCCTGTGGATTAGAGATTGATAAGATAGTAAATACTTTTTGGCAAATTGTTGAAATTTGGTTTACTAGTTAAATCATTTTCCAGGAATTTACTTAATATCAGTGTGTTTTGGAGGTCGAAAGTGACTGTTTCCTTCTGATTTATTCTTCGGTTTTGTGTAATCAGGACTCTGTGATCGTCCATTTGATTTTAGAACTAGAATAGCTGCTCGGCACATGCTTTCTGGTTGCCGAATGAGCTAATACCTCTGACATCTTTATTGTAGATTCTTCTTATGGCTCCAGTTTTTTAACAGTAAGTATTTTAACAAAAGTTTGAAACTTAATCTTCAGAGACATAGTGGTGTCAACTGAAAAAAAAATGCATGACATAAAAGTTGAGAATTATGTTTTATTTGTTGGATTTTCTGAGGACTTAAGCCTGGGACACAGAATCTCTGATCACCCTGAGGGACTCCTCCAAAGAGGTTAGGGGGAGCCAGGATGTATAGGAGTTTTTGCAACAAAGACCAGGTAGTCGGAGCATCAAAAGAGTACTGTAAATTAAAGAAAAAACAAGCATCTTAAGTGAACGAACTCAGCACTTTTCTATGTATGGGAAGATGCAAGAGTCTGGGCTCACTGAAATCATTCCTTGGATATGCGCCTCAGTTACCTGTGGCCAGTGTCCTGCTTTTCTCCATGCAACACCCTTTGTTTATTGATATGACAGGCAACATTTTTCATCCACAATGGTTAAGTTCAAAACATTGATTTTAATTTATTTTTCAAACATGCCTTTTTAATGCTTTGATTGTTAGTAACACTATGTAGAAGCTGTATTTGAGACAGCCAGACTCACTCAAGAGATGAATGAGTGATGAAAGACGAGTTTTACTTTTCTCAAGTAAGGCTCTGGGTTTAGAAAAGCAGAAGGTGGACATTGAGGCCGGACGGTAGTGGGTGATCCAGAGAGAGTGGCTTTAGAAGACAGGCGTGTGGTCCACCTGATCTCATTAGGTTGGAGATTCCTGTGTTTGGCGCAAACCCTTGAGTAGCGTTAGGCACACAGCCTTCAGTTAAGGCACTAGTTATTGATGGGGGGATGTTTTGCTTTCCCAGGGGCATTTGACAATGTCTGGACATATTTTTGGTGTCATGGTGGGGATGGAGGAGGGATTTTTGTCTAGATGGAAGTACTCAGTTATATCAGTCACGACTGTGTTCAGCTGCAATAACAGAAAACCCCCAAATAACAGTAGCTATTCCAGTTTTGTCCAGATATGAACAGCTTATCATTTATTTACAAAATCTGTCTCAAAATCTTAGAAATTCATTCAGCTTGTTACAAAAACAGACCTCTACATCTCTTCTCCTGTCCAAACTTCCACCAAATTTGAAAAACCAACCTAACAGAGTAATTTTAAAATCGGGTCTGTTCAAAATCGTGACCTACTAGGCATGACTCTGGACCCCAGGGGTTCTGCGTTCTTACAACTTTTGCAGCCCTACCCCCCCATCATCTACTTGGTGTTTTGCACTATCAGATGGATCTCAGTAAGACTGAGGAGGTGATCGCTAAGCTGGAGAGTCTTCACTGGAAGCCCCCCAGTCTGGGATTTTCTACTTTTACTGCCGAGACTCTATGCAAACAATGTCCGTGTTGAAGACAGCCTCCTCGGGGGAGGACACCTACTCCACTGGGTTCTGAGGTAAGTGAAAACGAGAAATATAACTAATTACAGATGATTTGGTTTTTCCTCCTCACTTTTTAATGGGAAACTATTTCTCTGAGTGATTGATACAAGAAAACCATGCAGAATGATGTCACCTGAAAATGGCTGGACTCTTGCATCTCCACGCCTGCCCCTCATCTCCCTGTATAAATATTTTACGTAAGTGCAGTGATGTTCAGAGCACGTGCTCCCTGATTAAAAAAAAATCAACATTATATCATTAATGTTTCCTATGTCCTGATAGTCTTCAGATGATCATTATTAGCATAACTTTCCATTTTGATAAGGTATCATAGACCGTAATTTTCTTGATAACGTATAACTGGTCTTTGGTTGTTTCTAAGTTTTTCATTATTGGAGATGTGACACGAACATGATACCTTAGTTTCTTAGTAAAAGCTGCTGCAGTGGCCCCAAGTATTACCCAGAATTGCTAACTCAGTTCTTTCTTCTGCGGTTCAGTGAGCAGCACTTTGGTCTCCTTCGATGGGCCTGGCCCCACGTTACCCAGGGGTGACCTTTGAGATGACCCCTTCCCATGGTGGGTTTCCCACATTTTAATAACATGGTCTGTTTGCTCTCCAGTTGAACTCTTTTGTGTAAACCTGTTGTATGAATATGGTGTTTTATTAGTAAAAGTTGATATTCTTTCCAGATTTTTAACTGTTACTTGTCTTATCTGCCATCAGTGGGAGTGGCCAAGACCACCCCAGGCCAGGGCGAGAGGGGTCCTTGCTCCAAAGGGGGCCCTACTCTGGCCTCTGAAGCAGCTATGGCTCAGGAAACCCATGGGGCAAGGGCGTGTGTCCACAGAGCCCCCCACCCTGGAGCTCCCTGCCCCCGGGGCCAGAGCCCACTGAGGGCAGCTCTCACCACTGGAGTGTGCACCCAAGGCCTGGGGTGTCCAGTGGTAGCTAGTGGCAGGAGTGTGGATGGTGCTCGGATGTGCAGGCCGAGCGTCCACACATGTACACGAGGCCTTTGAGGTGCAGTCAGAGCTGGGGGCCAGGCTGGGGAGGGGTGGCTTTGGGACCAGGACTCCCACCCCTGGTGTGTTACATTCTGAAGTTGAACAGGGCTTCCCAATTTGTTATGAAGGTGTGCTTGCCAACATGGGACAGTGGGGCATATTTGACATTTGTTGGTTTGATTTATAACGTGAATATCTGAACGTGGTTGGTGTGCTTCCCTTGGTCTCTTGCCCCGAGCCCTGGACGGTCAGCAGTAGACACGAGAGCCCGAGGCCCCCCATCAGAGCAAGACAACCTTTGAAATTAGAAGGTATTGGTGGTAGCTGTTGAACCACATAAGCTCCAGCATTAATTTTATTTCTACACTTTACTTTGGTGGCACAAGTATCAAGAAAGTCCGCGTTCATAGAGATTAAGTATTTGCATGTGGAACGAGGTTCCAGATGCATTCTGTTATCTAGGGAGACTCTTCCCTACACAGGGATGTGCTTCCTCAGTGAGAAGTGCCGGAAAATAGCCTCTTTGAAGCACAACTTAGGCATTACTGGTGTTGCAAAGAACTAGACATGTTCCCACTTGGATTGAATGGATTTTCTAATTTACAAGTTTCATTGTAATTAGTTATAAGATATTGATTCTTAGGAAACAGAATGAACACTGTAGACATGTGGACTCCCTTGTTCTGTGAAGCAGTGTGAAAACCGGTGACTGAAGCCTTGACACAGCCAGATGCGGGAGTGCGGGGGGAGGACAGTGGGGGGAGGGGGAGGGGCGCTCCAGCAGGTGTCCCACCCCAACCCCAGTGTCAGGCTGAGAGTGGGAACTTGGAGCGGGCAGGCTGCTGCGCACAGGCTTCTCTGAGGGGACGGCACTTTGCGCCCGTCAGCTGCCCGGGTGAACACAGGAGAGCACTTACCTCTCGTGTCTGGCTCCTGGTCCAGGGACTCAGGGTGGCACTGACAGCCCCGGGAGTGGGGAGTGTGGACGTGTGAGTTGCAGCCACATCCTGCGCAGGGCGGGGCGGGTCAGGGGGATGCCACCTGTTTTGCTGATGGTGTTCTGGTTCTGCTTTGCTTCTAGCTCCTTCTCAGCTCTGGGACATTTAGACTGGCTGCCAGTCAGCCACACCTTTTCCAGGGTCTCTGCAATGGTGCTGCAGGTGGCCATTTCGACGCTGGTATTTCTGCAGGAGAACGGAGCAGCGGCCATGGGTGTGGGTGTCTTAACAGCTGTTATTGTGACATTTCACTGTTGCACTGGTTAAATTCATCGGCAGCCACCACAGAGCTAAAATGCTGTTCAGAGAAATGATTTAATTAAAATATCAACTGCAAGAAAGAATTGGTTGTTTCTGTTCGTAAAAGAGAGACCTAGACTGAAAATTTGGGAATCAGAGCAATTTGACGTTCTACCACTGTCGAAATTCTGCAGTCGCTGCAAATAAAAATGTTATTTATAATTAAAAAAATAGCTGATTTTAAAGTTATTGGACTTGATGGCCTCTAAGCATAGACCTGTCATTGGTTCTTTGATTTTCACCTTTCCTCCCTTCTGAACTCATATTACTGAATTCCAATTAGGAAGAAATATTTGAAAATCAGTAAGGCCAGTGAGAGGGGGCGGGTGATGTCGATTGAGAAAGCCCCCAACTGAATAGACAGCCTTTCCACAGGGGAAGGTGGGATTGTTTAGCTCTATTCTTGACCCAGGTATCCTTTCTTTCTTTTTCTCATTAAATATTCATTTTATTGTATTTTGCTGACAAATAAAATTATATATATTTAAAGTGTACAATGTGATGATTTGATATATGCATACGTTGCGAAATGATTACCAAAACCAAGTTAATTAAAACATCCATCACTTCACATGGTTGCCCTTCTCGGGCGATCATGATCTCTGAGTCAATCTCGAGTGTACAATGGGGTGTTACCACCTGTAATCTCAGTGCTGTGCAGGAGGCCTCCAGAACTCAATCATCTGAAACTGAAGGTCTGTTCCCCAGCCGGGATTCCCGGGTCCCCCACTTCACCGTGACTGGGCCTTTTCTGTTGTCCCCTCAGCCTTAATTTCAGGGCACGTGGGGTCACGCAGCAGCAGGTGGGTTTGCGGTGCTGGCACGTAGTGCTCAGCTGATGGCTGTCGAGTCGTGATCTGAACACCTTGAGCTGGGTGTTCAGATGAAGGGCCACCTTGGAATTTATGTGCTTTTAGGTTCGCAGGTGCCAGGCCACACTCACCAGAGGTCATCTGACCTTGGATGTCTCGGATGTGTATTCTGGGGGTGCCACTTCTGCATGGCATTGCTGGGTTGCTTGGGAAGCTTTATGAGTTTTATATCTTGATTTACTCTGTTAGGGGAAAGTTTTCCTTTGGTTTAAAATAGTTTTTATAAATATGTTTTTAAAGACTCCACAGAATATGTTATGCTATAAATATACCATAATTTATCCTTTCTTCCCAGTGCTAGACACTGAACTGGTTTTCAATATTTAATCAGTACAAAACCAATGCAATAACATTGTGGTACATGACTTTTCCCTCAGGTACCTTATTAGGTTTCTTGAGATAGATATTTTTAAAATAAAATTACTGGGTCCAATAATGTGAATTCATATGTTTCTTGAGCTACGTTTTCGAATTACCCTCTAGAAATTTGCCGTCATTTATGTCTGGAAGCATGTGTCATGTCACCGCACTATAGCATCCCATACCAGCTTCTGTTTGTTTGCTTTTCCTGTTCGACCGTCCAAATGGCCTTTGGTCTGCATTTGCCTTTCCATTCGAAGTGGAGAAGACATCATTTTCCGAATGACTTTCGACCTGTGACAGTGTTATTTTAAAATTATTATTTATTTGTTTTTATTTTTGGCTGTGTTGGGTCTTTGTTCTGTGCGCGGGCTTCTCATTGTCGTGGCTTCTCTTGTTGCAGAGCACGGGCTCTAGAGTGCAGGCTCAGTAGTTGTGGCGCATGGGCTTCATTGCTCCGCAGCGTGTGGGAATCTTCCCGGGCCAGGCTTCGAACCTGTGTCCCCTGCATTGGCAGGGGGATTCTTAACCACTGCGCCACCAGGGAAGCCCGTGTGACAGTGTTATAGCAGCTGACAGTATAAATCATTAGTTGTCTTGCAGAGTCAGGATACAGCCTGTCCTTGAAGGAGCTGGTGTGGGACCCACAGAAGGTTCAGGCTGACCTGAAATCCCTATTCGGTTTTGATGACCTTCACGCAGAACGAATCCTGAATTATTCCGCTGTGTTCCGTGTTATCCCTGCCTCAAAGGCAGTTTGGAAGTAACAGGGCACCTTGCTACTCTCAGCAGCAGTGGGGGAGAAGCCAGGCCCTGAGGCTGGGAGGCTCTGGAGGCCAGTCGGGGGCCAGATGGGGCGGGGGCACGAGAGGACTGCTTTCCAGGCAAAGAGATGCTTGGGGAGCAGAGGTGGAGGTCCTCAGGGCAGCTGGGGTCACCAGATTTGAGCCTCACTCTCCAAACTGTGAAATCAGGGCGTCGGGGTCAGACCAGCTGACCCTGTCGACCCTGCTCGCTGCAGCTCCCGAGGTTCGGAGGCCTTCAGCTGACGTCCCTTTAGTCACCTGGCGCATCCGTGGACATTTCTGCTTCGTGTGGGGCAGGACGCAAGCATGGCACACCTGTCTCCCTTCCCTGCACAGACCGCCCCGCGAGACCCCCTTCCCACCTCAGGGGGACGCCCTGGGTCAGGGTCGAGGTCCTTAATGTCTGGGGAGACCCAGGCCCTCCCTCTGGGCTTGGGGTCTGCACTCAGGGCATGGATTTTGGTCACGTCTCAGGATTCCCATGACCTGGTGCTTCCCTGACACCACTTTTGGGTGCAGACTGAGGCTTTCCACCACTGGGCTCCGGGCCAGGGCTCTTGGTCTGGGTTTAGAAGTTGGCTCCCCTCCCCCAATGCACTGCTGACTCCTGGGCTGGCCTGGGGTTTGGAAAGACCCTCCTGCCGGGCAGGTCGTAGCCTTGGTTGCTGTATAAGGAGTTTGATGTCTCTCTCTCACACCTGGTGCAATTTTATTAACCATCTACTTCCTGTTGGGCTTGGAACTGTGACCCTGGCGTTTCTCACGGGTGCTTTTGTAGGTGGAATGTGAAACCCCAGTCGGCTGACTTTTTTACTCCAGTTTTCTCCGCACTTTGTGACCTGTCTTCATGTTATTTTTAGGGTATAGTTTGAGTCAAACTATGTAAAACTTTTATCTTAGAAGGATAACTATTTTGAGATTAGAATTAAAGGAAAACGATCAGGACATACCACAGAGTGTCCACAGAGCTCCGTGGACATCATGTATCGCAGGTGTGCCTTCTGCGGCTGCTGTAACGAACGACAGCCCAGGAAGGAATCAAGGGGTCTGCATGGCTGTGTCCCTGCTGGAGCCTCCCAGGCAGGCATCGTTCTCTTGCCTCTTCCAGTTTCTAGAGACAGCTTCTTTCAGTGGCTGGTGGCCCCTTCCCATCCTCAGAACCCGTAATGTCTGGTTGAGTTTTTCTCACAATGCATCACCCTGACTCTCAGGACCATCATAGTTTCCTCAGGTCATTGGATGATCCAGGATAATCTCATCTCAAGTCGGCAGATGGGCACCCATCATTCCATCTGCAACCTCATGGCCTTCCTGCCAGGCGACATGATACATTAACAGGTTCTGGGGATTCACACGGGAGCATCTCTGGGGTCCACCGCCTGCCTTCCAACGGCATCAGCGTGGGTCCCCCCAGTCCTGCCGACTCCAGGCCCTGCTGCTCCCGGCCTGCCTGGGGTCTCTGCGTCTGCTGCCCTGGGAGAGGGTGTCTTCCTACTGCGTGTCGTCAGACAGACCGCTCGGGTCCTGAGGGCAGGGACAGGGCTATATTCCTCTGACAGGCCACGTGGTATTGCTGAGTGTTTTGTTTTTTAATTAAAAAAAAAAAAAGAAACAATACAGAGACCACGAGGGGGTCTGTGCCTTGATAGTCACAGGGAGTAGTTTTAATCTGGATCCTGAAGGGAACTACAGAGGGAATGAATGGGGCTTCGACGCTTTGTGATCATTGCCGCCAATGGGATTTCTGAAAGATGACGCCACAATCGTAAAACTCTGTAATAGAGGAACATGGTTTCGTCCAACATGAACGGAAGTATTATTATGGAGCCGTATTAGAGAAGTTCATTTACAGAAATAAAGGAGGTTTGGTTTCAAAATATTAAGCAATTTCTGACTCACAGCTCCAATTTGAACCCTTCCAACTTCATCCATCTTTGATAGATAATTAGAAAAGAAGATGTTTTTGGCAAAGCAAATTTGTTAGTCCAAGGTATCAGTTAAACTGGGCCGGCCCATGGTTGCCTTTGGCCCGAGAGTGGAGACAAACAGTATCTGAAACCATCCCCGAGTCCTGGAGAAACAGCAGTTCTCCTGAAAAATGTCATCAACTTATTCCTTAACTCCAAAGGCCTCCCTTCCAGGCAGATTCACACGGACGTTATCACTCTATCACCCTGTTACGACTTCAGTCAAGCAAATGTCGGAGGTTTTTCTTTGGCAAGATTGGGGTGTTATTCGGAGAGAAACATCCCAGGATAAAAGACGCTTGATTTCTTAATATTTTCCGTATCGTTGCCAGATTCCCACAGACAGTTCACTGGGGCGGATGCTGTGTTCAGCCTTGTCCAGCTGCCACGAGGATGAAGAGGAATGGGGATGGGGGTGGTCACCCTGCAGACTGCGACCCCAGGTGGTCAGCAGCCAGAAACTACCTGCTCTGCGCCACCAGTCAGCTGCACCTCTGCAAACAGGTGCCACCCCACAGCAGACACCCGTGTCGTGGCGTGTCCAGACCGTGCACTTTCCTCCTGCATCTTTCCCTGCTTGATTTTATTTGTTTGTTTGTTTGTTTATGTATTTACTTATCTTTTGGATTTTTTTTCCTGAGTTTGACTTTTTTTTTAATAAACTTATTTATTTTTGGCTGTGTTGGGTCTTCGTTTCTGTGCGAGGGCTTTCTCCAGTTGTGGCGAGCGGGGGCCACTCTTCATTGCGGCGCACGGGCCTCTCACTGTCACGGCCTCTCCCGCTGTGGAGCACAGGCTCCAGATGCGCAGGCTCAGTAGTTGTGGCTCACGGGCTTAGTTGCTCCGCGGCATGTGGGATCCTCCCAGACCAGGGCTCAAACCCACGTCCCCTGCATTGGCAGGCAGATTCTTAACCACTGCGCCACCAGGGAAGCCCGAGTTTGACGTTTTTTAAAAAAAATTTCATTGAAGCATAGTTGATTTACAATATCGTGTTCATTTCAGGTGTGCAGTGCAGTGATTCAGTTATACACACACATACACACACACACCTATATATCTATTCCTTTTCAGCTTCCCTTCCATTATAGGTTCTTACAAAATATTGAGTGTAGTTCCCTGTGCTATACAGTAGGTCCTTGTTGGTGATTTTATTTATTTTAATTTAATTTTATACACTTAACATGAGATCTACCTTCTCACTGATTTTCAAGTGTCCAACACAGCACTGCTGACACTAGCACAGGCTCTACAGCACAGCCCCAGAGCCAGCGCGTCTTGCTCACTGAAGCGTTACAGGGGCCAGCCCATTCATTCCGCGCCCCCGCCGCGACGTTCACTCTCTGACGTCACGTCCTTCCCGGGGAGAGGCGTGAGGACCCCGCAGGCTGGACACCATGTGCACCCTCTCCACGTGCATCTGCCGGCCTCGGCTCGCTGGGCACTCAACACAGCCGGCACCAGAGAGGCCCTCTTTATTGATTTATTTTTAATTTTTATTGAAGTATAGTTGATTTACAATGTTGTGTTAATTTCTGCTGGACAGCAAGGTGATTCAGTTCTACATATATTATATACATTCTTTTTCATATTCTTTTCCATTGTGGTTTATCACAGGATATTGAATATAGTTCCCTGTGCTCTACAGCAGGGCCCTGTTGTTTATCCATCCTATATGCAGTCGTCATAAAGTCCCTCTTGGATTTAAACATCACCTGGCAATTGCAAGAACCATAATCTATTTTTGGCATGTGCGATTTCCATCGGGCTCCTTTGACGCCCTCCTTGGGCGTTTGGTGCAGGGATTCGGTACCCCTGGGCACTGGGTGCTGAAGGGCCTGCCTCTTCACTCTGGTTTCGATAAGCCCTTTGCTTGAACAGTGACTGTAACATAAAGGGAAACTGTCTTCCCGGGATCGCTGGTGTGTGTGGAGTGCCAGAGTGCTCACACAGCCAGTGGCCTCAGAAACTGCGGGACCCTGGCTGGTTCACAGCTTTCTGCTTTGGGGGAGGCCGGGGAGGGGTGTGAGGTAGAGGCCTGTTACCACCCCCCCACCCCCCCGTTCACTTTACTGGGCACTGCATTTCCCATCACATGTTTTCTCAAAGAGCACACCTCTGTACCTTTTTTCCTAATATGTCTCACTGGTAAAGGTCAAACTCTCAAATAACGGATAAACGTCCTTAAAAAAAAAATACAGGTCTGACTGTCCACTTGGAGGCACTCAATTTATCTGGTGCTAAATGATCAAGGGACAGCATCGAGCTGACCAGCAGCAGCACGGTCAGTGGAAGCCCTGGCCGTGCGTTTTGTCTGGGTGGTGAGCTCGTGGTGACATGAAATCTGTTCAAGGCACATCCCTGTTCACCCTGCATCCCCCGCTCTCTCAGTTTGGGCAGGAAGGACCTGTTCTGGTGCAATGTTGACAATCCACAATATGAATTGCCTTTAGTATCCCCAAGTTCATGACATGAAATGGTACTTAGTAACTATGTATTAATTATGATAGAATTCTAAGGCATATGAATATACTTATGCTATCCCATGTCAGTTTAGTTTTTAAGGTATATTTCACTTGTTTAGAAACGTATGTTATCACTTTTTCTTTTGAAAATGGGAAGGGGGGAAGGAAAGAGAGAAATCGGCCCAACAAAAAAGTTGCATGCACCCATTGTTGCAATTTGTAATCTTTAATTTCTGAGTAGAAATTAAAGCATAATACAATTGTCAACAGGTGTCTCAATCTGCCAACCACATAAAAATGGGCCGTCTGTCACCTAGAATAGTTTGTTACTATTTCTTAACTAAACACTATTATTTCCAGTATTTTATTGTTGATAACAATGTTCTTGTTTCTCAGTGTGCAGGTGTTTGACCAGTGGCAGAAGGGCAGCCTCTTCCAGAGGATCCTGGCGGGGACTGGCCACGGGCTGGAGGCTCTGGGGACTCAGTCTGGGGAAGGGAGCCAGGCCTGGACGGTGGCGGGAGCTTTGCAGGCTGCCCTTCTCCTCCTGAACGACAGTGTGGCAGTCGACGGACCCCAAGGCAGCCACACACCTACCAGGATGTAAGGCACATTTCCTGGTGGATTAGGCTAGACAACCCTGATTTTAAAGTGTGCATGACAAGACTGTTACGAAGGCATTCCATGTAGCCCCAGTTAGACAACAAACTGCTAGTTATTAGCAACTGGAAAATGCAAGGCTTGCATTGTGGACCCTGGTAGGACTGTTTGCAGCAATCTGGATGCCTGTCCAGATGTTGAAAAGCAATCGAATGAGGGCACGATGTTTGAGAGGGTTTTCAGATTGTGGACCTTAGGTCTTAACGTCTTTGACATTCATTTAAAAATGAAGAAAGACAGTTTAAAGGTCCTTTCCTGTAAGGAACTACTTGTTTTCCTATTTATTTAAACTTTTTGTGTAGTTGAAATGTTTACATAGGGTCCAGAAATATTTGAGAAGTAGGAAAGGTGGGACGTGTGTTTTTATTTTTAAGGTAGAGAAACTGACTCACACACACCGTGCAGTCTAGTGCACACGGGGTCTGTTTCTTCGGTAGGTGTGGCTGTTTGAAGTAACTTGATGAATCTTAGTAAACTCCTGAAGTTAAGGCTTTCCTTGGAAGAGGACAATAAGATTTCTTCATATTGTCACAAAAGGTTCATTTCAAACTGTGTGTCATAGAAAGTATTGCTCCCTGTAAGGTGTGGAGAGGGAGTTGTGATGTGCGAATTGTACGGCGCTGTACGTATGTCTTTTTCAGGCTCAGCGGCCATGGCTCACGGGCCCAGCCGCTCCGCGGTATGTGGGATCTTCCCGGACTCGGGCCCGAACCCGTGTCCCCTGCATCGGCAGATGGACTCTCAACCACTGCGCCACCAGGGAAGCCCGGTATGGGGTTTTTAACGACACACCTAACAAGTGGTAACTGAAAACACTGCCGACCCTTTTTCTTTTTCTGAAACCCAGTTAGGAAGCAGGGCGTTGCTTTTGAAGAGATTGCCCGGGGCACATGGGGACCGTGGCGGCGGAGGCAGTGTGGCTCCCTGCGGGCCGAGGGCGCTGAGGAGGGGTTGCGGGCAGCCGGCCACGGACGTCTGCAGGATTAGCTGGAGAAAGGACGGGGCACACTGTTCTGTCACATGAGAGCTGCACGTGCAGCGCAGCGCAGGGGGCCGGGCGTGGGCGTCAAAGGCTTCCCTGCTTGGTTACCCGTTCTGAAGCTGTTTGAAAGTAACATCTCTGTTACTGAACACACAGTAGCAGAGACGCCACGTCAGGTCCCCCTGGACGATCCTACACGCCTCCAGCACGTCCTGGCCCTTCCGCCCTGGGTCCCGCTGGGGCCCCCATAGACCAGGAGCCCCGGGGACCCTCCCCGTCTCTTGGCTCCTTGGGGATCAGGGGCCTCAGTGGCCACATCCTGCTCTAAGTACCGAAGCCACTCGCAGGTATCCTTCTCCCGATCCTGAACCAGAGTTGCAGGGACGTGACCTGCCTCCGGTCATCCCGTCCGGCCCCATTCAGGGGGCCGGAGTCTGGTCGGAGGCGGGCAGCCTGCACTCGGCCACACGCCGTCTGGACACTGAAGCGCTCTTGAAACACGCTTCCGTATAAAATATTTTCTGGTAACCGCAGGTTTCATGGCAAATATATATATATATACATACATTTATTTATTTATTTATTTGTTTATTTTTGACTGCGTTGGGTCTTCGTTCACGCGGGCTTTCTCTAGTTGCGGGGAGCGGGGGCTATTCTTCATTGCGGTGCACGGGCTTCTCATTGCGGTGGCTTCTCTTGCTGTGGAGCATGGGCTCTAGGCACGTGGGCTTCAGTAGTTGTGGCTCATGGGCTCAGTACTTGTGGCATGCGGGCTCAGTAGTTGCGGCTCACGGGCTTAGTTGCTCTGCAACATGTGGGATCTTCCCAGACCAGGGCTCAAACCCGTGTCCCCTGCACTGGCAGGTGGATTCTTAACCCCTGCACCACCAGGGAAGTCCAAGAGCTCCAACTTGATTTCTTCCAAATAGCCACAAATTGTCAGATGTTTCCAAAAGATTGGTTAAACCCTCCATTACTCACCCACACCACCACTGACTCAAGTTACTTTCATCTTTGTGTTCCGAATTCCTATTTACATTTGGATCCATTTCTGGATTTCTCTGTTCTGTCCCCTCCTCTCTCTACCTCGGGGTCATATCATGAACCATAATCATGGCAAATATTTTTAAATCTCACCTGGAACTTTATCCTAACCCTTGCCTCTTCTACCCACTACTTGGGATATACGTTTCTGTTTTGGGGTAAGGAGAGTGTTTAATCCATATTCAGTACCTGAAGGAATCCCCAAATCAGAGGATTCGAGCGATACAACCTGTCAAGAGCCTGGTTATCTGTGTACGTGGGGAAAGTGGGACTTTGGTCTGTGAAGTCCCAAAGCTGTGGGGTATTTTCCTGTGAGTGGAACTTTTGTTTCCCAAGGAGGCATTGAACTGCTTCCTGTTACGTTTCATTTATTTATTTCTGCCCTCAGATTACTGCCCCTGCAGAAACTGCAGCGCCTCCTTTGGGAGCTGCCCCCGTGGCCGGCCCTGACGAGACTGCTCCAGCTCGACGGGGCTCTCAGGAGTGTGGCGGCCCAGAATCTACACCTTGTCCAAGGTAAACTAGCTCCAGGGTTATTTGTCCCCAACTCAAATCACGGTGAGCATGGGAGCGGCTGGAAGGCAGGCTCGAAGCCGCCCGTCAGGTTTGGAGGTGAGGTATGGGCGTGCATACATATTTGTGCTTGTCGATGGTGCCCAGGGATGTTTCAAATCCAGCACATCCTGGCTGAACGAGTAGCGTGTCATAGTGGGGACCACATCCTGCTGTTCCCGTCAGCCGGCCTGGGGCCTGGACAGGCTCTTTTCTGCCGTCCCATCCACACCCCGTCCTCTGCCCACTCCCTGCCCCTCGGCATCCGTGGGGATAGCAGGTCCCCCTCGTCTGCCCCGACGCCCTTCCTTGACTGCAGTCCCGGGCGGTGGCCGTCTGCACTCTGCTGCTTCTCACGGTGGACGGAGGAAGTGAGACGGCTGATGGAGCAGCCGCCCGAGGCTCGTGTGTCTGCAGAAAGAGGGGCCGGAGTTGGGTGACTTTGTCAGGCCCCTCCCTCGGGGGGACGTGAAGTGTCTGATAGCAGGTCCAGAGGCTGACCGGCCGGCTGCCAGGATTCAGCCTCTCGATTGCCGGCCACGTGAGGGAGGGGTCGGGCGTGGAGCAGCTGGCAGGGGGTGAATGGTAACCCGTCTGTCTGTCCATCCTACAGAAATCCTCATTCGCCTGGAGACGTTTTCTAAGGACTCTGGACCCGCTGGGCCTGGCCAGTCAAAACTGGAAAAGGACGTGCTTTTTGGGGAGTTAAATCAGGTAAATCATAGCAAAGGATCACAAGTAAGCACCTGGGATAGCACATTCCAGACGCTCAGGCAGTATTTCCTTTTGCTCTTGTTATGAATGGTGCTAGTGTAATAAAGAGCAGTTTTTGAAGCACTTTGCTTTCTTTTAAAGTTCTGGTTTCTGTTTGCGGGGCTCTGGCTCTCAGAAAGCTATGTCAGCCCCTCTCCGTGTGGCCCCTCAGGCTCTCGTTTGTCTTTTAGCTGTGGTTGAAGAAGAACGCCACTGGTCTGTACCTGAACGGACGCTTGTCCCAGACGGAAGCTCCCCTGCCTCCTGGGACCGCCGGCATCCGGGGGGTCCCCGAGGGGCTGGGCTGTGGTCACCACTCCTCCAGTGAGGCCAGTGCTTTACATAAGCTGCTTGAGTCACTGGAGGATGTGGTGGGTATCCACTGTCTGGTCTCTTCCGGGCACTGGGGGCTCATTTCTGAGGTAGATTCACCAAAGATGCTCACACTGGAGCCTCAGTCTTACAAGACAGCTGCCCCTGGGCGCCCCCTCCTGTGAGGCCACCTTAAGAGGCTGTGTGCCACCCACATGGCCAGAATCTGCTTGGTGTTAAATGAGCCTCCCCAAGGGCACCCAGAATGTTTCCCCAGGTCACATCTGATTCCCTGTGTCCAGGTTCCCCGTCCTGCTCCATTTCTAGCTGCAGAGGCTACAGCAGGCGGAGGCGTGTCTGGTGGGCAGTCGGCTTGGGGCTGAGCTGTAGCTTCCAGGGGCCAGAGGCCTGGGGGGGGCGTGGTCTCCCCACGTGCCACCCAGTCCCCCAGTGTAGGGCTGCAGGGTGTCGAGAATTAGTTAGTGAAAAGGATCATGTCCAGTCCGGCCTGCACTTCTCTTACTGAGCACTAAACATATTGATGTTCACCTTTTCGTAGTTCATTTCATTTTCAGTATTACCTGTTTCATGTTTATCTTCTTCCTTATAAACCATGAAATAAGATCAATGAAACGATGAAACTAGTGAACTATAAACTGTGCCAGTTAGGGCAGTGGTGTGTCAAGCCAGTCAGCGTTTTCTCAGCACATTTGCTCTGTGCGTATTCATGCGCAGAAGGGTGCGTGCTGCCCTGGCCGAGGAGGGTGGAAAAGCTTGGGTCCTCAGAGGGTGGCATCTGGGAATCTTCCCAGATGAGAGCATGAGCCCTTAAGGAGGCGGGTAACTTGAAGCAAGGAGAACTCGGGAGGGCGCCGGGCAGAGGGAAAGCGTGTGCAGGTGGGAAAACCATCGCCTGCTGGCACGGTTGCTTTTTTTTTTTTTCTGGGTACGCGGGCCTCTCACTGTTGTGGCCTCTCCCGTTGCGGAGCACAGGCTCCGGACGCGCAGGCTCAGCAGCCATGGCTCACGGGCCCAGCCGCTCCGCGGCATGTGGGATCTTCCCGGACCGGGGCACGAACCCGCGTCCCCTGCATCGGCAGGTGGACTCTCAACCACTGCGCCACCAGGGAAGCCCTGGCACGGTTGCTTTTGTGCTTTTGGTTTGTAAGCTCTCTCCTGACAGAAAGCCACCCGAATTTCTCTGTATCTATGAAGCCTCTGTCACGGCGCAGTTATGTTTCTGTATTATGTGCAGGGTAGGTATCCTTTCTGCTGGGCCTTAGGTTGTTTATCACCAAGGGATGACCCCGCAGCTCGGCGGGTAGTTCTGCTGGTTCTAGCAGACCTCTCCCTCGTAGCTGCGGGACTCTGGGTACGCAACTAGGGCACCGAGGGCAGGGGCGGTGCGGAGCTGGTCCCGTCTCCTCCAAGCCCCAGGGTCTCTCCATCCTTGTGGCCTGTCTGTGTGGTCCCCCAGCAGCCCGGGGATCCCAGGCGAGAGAGGGGTTGGGAGCCGCTCCTCAGAAAGGGGCTGTGTCCCTCCTTCTGCACCGTGTTGGTTAACAGGGGCCCCAGCCCAGCCTCGATGAGCCATGGGGTGCGGTTACAGGGTCGTGGTGCTGGGACGTCTGCCCCACTGGGGTCAGGTGGGGGACAGGCCAACACAGACGGGCTTGATGCCTGGGTGCTCTCTGCTTTGTGGCTGTCTGAGGCTGTATGTGGGGTCTGTTCACCTGAACAAAGACTCAAGTCCAGGACCAGGACCAGGTGGTCCCAGCCGTACGGGGCACAGTTCAAAGGGACCCCCAGCTGAGTAAGAACGGGTAGAGGCTGCATCACAGATGCCCACAGCTTCATTGCTTTATGTAACACAAGCAATGTTCTCTCTGCCTTTTAAGGGTCATCATTTGCAAGAGGTCATTACTGGGCCCACAAATATGCCAGTTTCAACACGGGAAGACACCCCGGGCTGGCAGGACCTGGGGACACGGCTGTTGGAAGTGAGCCTGCCCTGCACTCAGCTTCTGTGGCTGCCGGGAGCCAGGGTCTCTCCCCACGACTTTACGGACTGACTTTTCTCTGCGGCATAAGTACCTGTTGGATGGAACACTTCCGAACAATTGGAAACCGAGAGGACTCCAACCGCTTCCTTCTCTACTCGAGAGACAGATCAACATAGTATATTCTATTTCTTATGAAAAAATAGAGTTGTTTACTATTTTTTCTGTTTTAAAAAGATTAACCTCTTTGGTACTGTTGGAAAGCATACACAAAATGTGAAATAGTGAACAGTCCCTCCGAAGTTTAACTGTTGGCTTAAATCTCACAGGAAATCTAGGGAATCGAGGGCCCTCATTTAGTTCAAGGTGCTTGTTTATCACGTCACCCAGGATGCCAAAGAGTGGTTCTTGAGGGAGCTCTGCTTCTCCAGGAAATTTGCCTTGTTTTTATTTTATCAAATGTGAATTGTATGTGTGATGAATTTCCATTCTCCTCGGATGCTAGGACGTTCATAGTCAAATATGTCAAATAGGAATGTATTTTTCTTAGCTCAAAACTCATTTCATATTGTAGACATTAATTTTCCAGTTTCTCCGCTCTTGATGGAGATATTTTATGTGTTCTTACATTTTTATATTTTATGTGCTCCCATAAATGATTTTCCTTCATTTTGCAAATCAGGGTGGGGGAAGTTCATAAATAAACAAATATGTATTAAGAAAACTATTTCAAAGATTCTAATTTCCATATATAACTGGGCTGCCTGGCGTTTGTATATATTTGTATTTAGATGAGTTTGTAATATTGTCTTCTGGAAAACCGTTATTCAGTTTTGTTTTTGATTGCAGGGTATTTCATACACTTGAGAAAGCCCAGCGGTTCCTCAAACAGACATACCCCTGGAAAGCCTTCATGGGGTTCATACGGAAGACTTGCCAGGTGGCTCGATATGTGAATAAGCAGGAAAGTTTCCAGAACAGTCTTCTTGGTAAGTCAGGAATGAGGGTGTTTTCCCCGTTCACTGTGGCAACACGGCTTCCTAAGAGGTGATCGATCCTAGTGAGTGAGGGGAACTAAGCGTGGCTCACCGGGATGGTGCCGTGAGGTTTCTGCATTTACTCCCGTCAGCCATAACTAGACGGCCGCGGGTCCCGGCACAGTCACTGCTTTCTCTCTCTAAACTGTCCTGGTTTGGTCGATAAACACTTACCTGTACAGACTCATCATGGCCCAACCTCCGAAAGTCCAGATGTGCTGTGTGTGGGACCCTCTCCCTTAGCGCGTCCGCCCTGCCACGGGGGAGACCCAAGTGGAGTGTGCTCCACTCTCTCCTTAACAGCCTCAAAACCCCAAGTCCCCTAAAATATGAATCTCATAACTTGCAACTGCATGACTCGCAGGGAATCATCCTGTCCCCCAAGAGACTTTTTTTTGAGAAGATGCTGGCAGGGCGATCCCTGCATCTCTGAGTTGGCCTCTTCCGGGTCTAGAGCTGGTTGTGTGTTTCCATCTGCCCTGGGAATTACACGCCCTGGTTTCCCATGTGTTCCACGGGCTCTGTCCCATGGGGTCATAGCATCTCCTTGGAACACCTGTGTCTTGGACCTCTAGGGGGTTTGGGCCTGGGGATGGGATTTCCTGTTCCTTTTCTGTGGTCATGTCCACCTAACACTCCTTCCTTCATTCCTCCTCAAACTTGTCTTAGGGGCTGCCAGAGACCCTCTCTCTCTGGTTCTTGGTATCAGACTCACCACCCACGAGAGGGGTTCCTGCATTTGCTGTGGTTACACTGCCAGGCTCAGCGCCCTGTTCAGCAGTGCTGGGTCTGTGTTGGCTTCTCCGGTGGGTTGGCTGTGTTCTCTTGAGTTGGGTGCTCATCCTACATGTTAACTTTCTGCTTTACCACCTTGCTCTCCTTTTGTTAATCACTTATTTCTGCCCAGTTTTACCATTTCCAGAAATACAGGCTACAAACAGTTACATTCATCATGAGCAAGAGGCTCAGGTTCAGAAGTCCCAATAATCACACACGTTTGTTGTGTTTTGAGGGAACTGCTTTATTCAATCCTTGTGGCAACCTGTAAGTTGGGTACAACTTCATTTTCAGATGAGAATACTGAAGCTCAAGGAGATAGTATTCTTGGAGTAGGTCACAAAACTGCTAAGTGTCAAATCCGGGAAGGCTCACTGTGGAGCCTGTGAGCTTGACCACCCTCTTCCCTTTGGACGGATCCTTGCTAGGGGCTTAACTCTGCCCAAACACGCTCCATTGCAGAAATATGACTGACTCCTCTTGACAAAGAACCGAGTTTTGTTGTTTTCTACTGTACATTTATTTTCTATTTCACTAATTTCCCTTTTAGTCTTTATTTCCTTCCTTCTAGTAAACTTAGTTTGATGTTCTTTTTCTAGATTCTTGATTTTCAGATTTTCTTCTTTTCTAACACATACTTTCAGGGCTATACATTTTTCTGTACGCAAAGCTCCGTATATATTCCACACATTTTGATACGTTGTGTTTTACGTTAGACTCACAGATCTTTCTATATTGAACTTACTTATATTTTAAGATTTTGGGTAGGGAGTATAGTGTAAAGCAATTTTGATTATCACGTGGAGACATGGGTAGTTACCACTAGGGGGGATGAATAATAACCGAGGGAAATTCGTGGGCTCTGGGCCCTTTACTGCCTGTGCTGGATGAGTACACAGACCTGATTCACTTACATCCTTGCTACTCAAAGTGTGGTCCCTGAACCAGTGGCAACAGCACCATCTGGGAGCCTGCTAGAAATACAGAACCTTGGCCCCATCTCAGACCTATGGAGTCAGAGTGTGAACTTTAGGACGACACCCAGATGGTCTATGAGCATGTGGAAGTGTGAGGAGCTCCGGGTTACACGCATGACTAACCTGTTGATCAGCATTCAACTCTCCGTTATACACTCTGTATTGCCCCTTCCTCCCGTAGGAAACAAAACCAACTGCACAGGATAAGAATTTGTTATTTATCTGTAACAGAAACACGAATTACGTTTTCTAGTAACTGGATTCTGCTCTAAGTATTTAAATCACGGACTGCAGTGAGTTTTGCAGGCAGATGGAGCTGGGAGCAGACCCTGCTTCTGACGCAGATTTTACTGAGTGGGTTACTGGCCTCCCATTGCAATCAGTTTTCTCCTTGGTGACATAGAAATTATATGGCCTACCGTACAGGGTTCTTATTAAGTAAGCTAATGTACGTGAAATTCCTAGTGCAGTACTTTTGGGCAGTTTCCATAGACACTAGTTCCTTTTTCTCCCCACAGAAATGATTCCAGAATAATAATGCACCACAAGGAATGGCCACGGAATTCACTGTGGTGGATTATGTTTCTTTTTTTGTTTAAAAAAGTTATTCCAAGTGGCTTGGTTTTCTGGTAGCATTAGCTTTAAAAATATGTGATATTAATCACACACATCTGTGCTAATTTTCAAGATTGTTACCACCTTTTCCCCCCTTAAACACTTATAAAATTATATATACATAAGTCAGTCTATTGCAGCAGGAACTCAGCGAAGTAAAAAAATTGCAAGTTTTATGTAATTTTGCCTCTGAAATAAGTGCTGGAGAGGTTAAATTACTTGTCTTAAATTAGAAGGATTTCTTTCTTTAAAAAAACCAGCTTTATTGAAATATAATTGATGCATGCAACAAATCACCTGTGTTTAAAGTGTACGATCTGTTAGATTCTGATGTGTGTATCTGTGAAGCTGTCATTACAGTTGAGACAGGGAATGTGTCCACCTGTCCCCAAAGTGTCCTCTTGCTCCCCTGTAATCCCCCCTCCTGTGAATCCGGCCCCTGCTCCGGTCCCCAGGTAACCACTGATTTGCCCTCGGTCATCATCAGTTAGTTTTTTCCTTTTCTAGAAATTTATATAAATGGAATTACATAGTATGTTCTATGACATCTTTTACTTAGTGTAATTAATTAGTTTCAGCTTCATTCATGAGGCAGTATGCTCACCCCTCTTGATTGCTGAGTACTATTCTGTTGCGTGGATGTATCACAGATTGTTTACTCATTCACATGACTCACAGTTTGGGATGTTTCCTGTTTTGGGCTATTGCAAATAAACCTGCGAGGAACATTCATATACAGTCTTTAATGGAAATATGTTTTCTTTTCTCTAGAAGTAAAATGGCTAGATTATATGGTACATGCATGTGTAACTTTTTAAGAAACTGACAAACTGTTTTTCAAAGTTGTACCATTTTACAGTTTCAACCAGAGCCCCTTCTGCCAGAGGGTTCTGATTCCTCCACTTGGTATGGTCGGTTTAGAAAATTTTAGCCATTCTAATAGGTGTGGTATCTCGTAATGGATTTCATTTGCATTTATGAGTAGTGATTTGAACATATATCTTTTCATTTGCTTATATATCGTCTGTGTATCTTTAGTCATGAATTGTGTATTCAAATCTTTCCCCCACTTTAAAAATTGGGCTGTGTGTTTCTTTATCATTGAGTTTAAAATTTCCTTGTAAAGCAAGATAGAAGCCCTTTATCAGATACGTGCTTTGTGAATATTTTCTCCTGGTCTCAAGCTTGTCTTTCCATCTTTCTCAACAGTGTCATTCAGGAGCAAAAGATTTAATTTTGATCAAGGTCTATATATCTTTTTTTTTTTTTCAGTGGATCATGGTTTTGGTAATATAGCTGAGAAATCTTTGCTAACTCTTGAGGTCACAAAGATTTTCACCTGTGTTTTCTTCTAGAAGGTTAATAGCTTTAGGTTTTAAAGTAGATCTGTGATGCGTTCTGAGCTAATTTTTGTATATGATGTAGGTGCATATCAGATTTTATTATTTTATCTTTTGCATATGGAGATCTAATTGCTCCAGAAAAATTTGTTGTGAAGATAATCCTTTCTCCGCTGATTACCTTTGTACTTCTGTTAAATAAGTTGTGCAAATATGTGGGTCATTTTCTTCACTGTTTACTCTGTCCCAGTGATCTCTTTGTTGATCTTTACACCAGTATCATCTGATCTTGATTATTACAGTTTTATGGTAAGTCCTAAAGTCAAGTAGTGTAAGCCTTCCAACTTTCTTCTTCTAAAAAAATTTTTTTAGCTATTCTAGGTCATTTGCATTTTCATATGAATTTTAGAATCTGCTTGTCAATGTCTCAAAATTCTGCTGGAATTTTAACCAGGACTGAGCTGAATCTATAGATAAATTTAGGGAGAGTGACTTTTTTTCTGGTAATAATGAGTCTTCTGACCCATGAACATAGTATCTCTCTCCAGTTATTTATGTGTTCTTTATTTCCTCTTAACAACTTGTAGTTTTCACTGTAGAAATTTAAATATTTCTATGCTATTGAAATGCTAGCGAAGTATATATATATATATATATATATGTATATAAAATGTTAAAACAACCTTGCATAACTGGGATAAATCCCAGTTGGTAAGATATATCTCTTTTTCATATGTTACTGGATTCAACTTGCTAAAATTTTGTTTAACATTTTACATTTGTGCTATGAGGGATATTAGACTGTAGTTTTCCTTTCTTTTAACATCTTTGTCTTATTTTGTTATCAGAGTAATCCTGGCCTCATGAGTTGAAGAGTACTTTCTCCTTTTCAGTTTTTTTAGAAGAGTTTGTGTTGAATTGGTATTGTTTCTCCCTCACACATTTGGTAGAATTCACTAGTGAAGCCATCTGCGCCTTTAGTTTTCTTTTTGGGAAGATTTTTAACTACAAATTCAATTTATTTAAAGGATATAGGGCTATGCAGATTATCTATTTCTTCTTAAATGAGCTTCGGTAGATTGTGTCTTTCAAGGAATTTTTCTCTTTCATCTGAATTGTCTAATTTAGTGTCATCCATATCTCATAATACAGCTGACCCTTGAACCACATGGGTTTGCCCTGCGCTGGCCCGCTTGTGTGTGGATGTTTTTCAGTAGTAAATACTACAGTACTCGTGCCATCTCTTGTTGGTTGAATCTACAGATGCAGAACTGCAGGTATGGGGGATGTGATTTGGAGGGCTGACCGTACGTTATAAGAGGATTTTTTACTGCATGGAGGGTTGGCATCCCTGACCCCCATGTTATTCTCTTAATATTACAGAATCTGTATAATCTTTACCTCTCTCATACATGATATCAGTGATGTGTGCCTTTCTTTTTTCGTGATCACTCTGCAGAGAGGTTTGTCAATGCTATTGATCTCAAAGAAGTAGCCTTTGGTTTTGTTCATTTTCCCCTAAAGTTTTTCTTTTTCCTATTTCCTTAGTTTCCACTTTTATTATTTTCTTTCTTCTACTTACTGTGGGTTTAACTGACTCTGCATTTCTAGTTTCTTAACTTGGAAGTTGAGTTGGAAGTTGAAGTCTCTGAGACCCTTATTCATTTCCCATATAGGTACTTAATTTCTCCCTAAGTACTGGTTTTTTTTAGTGGCATCTCACAAATATTGGCATATTGTACTTTCATTTTCATCTAATTTTAAAGTACTTTTTAATTTACCTTTTGATTTCTTTTTTGATCTATGAGCTGTTTAGTTCCCAAATATTTGTGATTTTCCAGTTATATTTAGTTATTGATTTCTAATTGAATTAGTCAATGAACATTCTTTGTATGACTTTAATCTTATTAAATTTATTGAGACTTTTTTATAGCCTAGAATATGGTCGCCTTGGAAAATGTGCCATTGCTTTTGAGAAGAATGTGTACGATATTGTTGTTGGGTGGGGCATTCTTCAAACATCAGTTAGATCAAGAAATCTGTATCCTTACTGATATTTATCTTCCTGTTCTATCAATTATTTGGAGAGGGGTATTGAAATCTCCAGCTATAATTGTGGATTTGTCTATTTGTCCTGTATTTCATCAGTTTTTGTGTCGTGGTTTTTTTTTTTTTAATATTTATTTATTTGGCTGTGTTGGGACCTTTGTCACAGCATGCAGGATCCTTCGTTGCAGCGCCTGGGCTTCAGAGTTGTGGCGCACGGGCTTACTCGCCCCACGGCATGTGGGATCTTAGTTCTTTGACCAGGGGTCAAACCTGCGTCCCCTTCACTGGAAGGCAGATTCTTAACCATGGGACCACCAGGGAAGTCCCTGTGTCATGTGTTTTGAAACTCTGTTATAATGTGTGTAAAGATTTAGAATTGTTATGTCTTCTCAATTAATTGATGCTTTTATGATTATGAAATAATAATGATATTATCATCTGGAATCTACTTCATCTGAAAGCTTCCTTTTGATTAATGTAGTGTGGTATGTCGTCTTTTACATCTTTTTACTTTTAAGTTATTTATGTCTTTTATTTCAAGTACATTTTGTACATGCAACATATAATTGGTTCTTGTTTTATCTGACCTGACAAGCTTTGCATTTTTATTGGGTTATTTAAACTATAGAGTATAGGGCTTCCCTGGTGGCGCAGTGGTTGAGAATCTGCCTGCCAAGGCAGGGGGCACAGGTTTGAGCCCTGGTCCAGAAAGATCCCACATGCCGCAGAGCAGCTAAGCCCATGAGCCACAACTACTGAACCAGCACTCTAGAGCCATCGAGGCACAACTACTGAGGCCTGCATGCCTAGAACCCGTGCTGTGCAACAACAGAAGCCACTGCAATGAGAAGCCTGCGCACCACAACGAAGAGTAACCCCCGCTCTCCACAACTAGAGAGAAGCCCACATGCAGCAACAAAGACCCAATGCAGCCAAAAATAGAAATAAATCAATAAATTAATTTATAACAAAAACAAACAAACAAAACTATGCAGTATAAACTAAATAGTATAAACTGTTTTATGTGATTAACGCTCTTCTCTAGTAATTCTACCTGAATTCTGTCAGTTCTGGGTAAGCTCTGATTGATTAATTTGTTTCCTAGTTATGGGTCACATTTTCCTGCTTTTGTGCACGCCTGGCAATTTTTGATTGAATGCCAAATGTTACGAATTTAGCCTTGTTTTGTGATTGCTATGTTGTTTTCCTACGTTATCGAAAACATTGCTTGAAATAGTTTGATCCTTTAGGGTCTTGCTTTTAAGATTTGTTAGGCGGGGCTGGAGCAGTGCTCAGAGAGGTTGTAAATATTCCCCGTCACTGAGTCAAGACCTTTTTGGCATCTTCTCCTCAATGTCTAACAAATCATGGATTGCTCTAGTCTGGGTAACAGGAACAAAGTTTGTTCCTGGCCCTGCGTGATCACTGGCCCCTTATCTTTAATTTTGGGTGGTTCTTTCCCTGGTCTCAGGGAGCTCCTTCTCATGCATGGAGCATTTGTCCTCAGCAGATAGCAGATGCCTCCCTGGGCAGCTACTCTGTCCTGTGAATCCCTCCTGTCTTTCAGACTCTAAACCCCCTCCCTTCAACTCAGGATGCCTACCAGACTCCAGCTCTGCCTTCTGAGTCACGGGGGGGGAAGGCCTCACCTTGTTCATTTTCTGCCGTTTGTTCATGGGTCTCTGTCCTACACTCCTTGATGGTCAGTGGCACTTCATCTTGGCCAGAAGCGGAAGTCAAATCAGAAGGACTTCTAATCCTCTCTTGTTATATTTTCAACCATGTTAACTGAAACACTGTAGCATTTCTCACTTTACTAGACTTGACTTTTATACTCAACTCGAAATCAATATATGAAATGCCTTCCTATTTAGCTTTCTCTGAGGAATCTCCTTGTTATGAAGAAATCATGGATTGGAAAATCATTGGTGATAATTATTTTGCATTTTTGAATAACTTGATCAAGACTCCAATAGCTTCCATATCTAGGTGAGTTTTCAGAATTCAACTTCTAGGTCTTCACTTAACTATTATCTGAAGATAAACAAAACCTAATTATGGGAGGCACTTGCTTTAAAATGTGAGATCCTGATTTAGCTCTCAATAAAGCACTTCATATGTGTTTGGTTCTCAATAAATATTTGTGTCATAGAATGTATGACTCATGTTTCCATGGATTTTGAAAGGAAACAGATTACGGTAATAAGATTTCCCCTTGAGAGCATAATTTATTATAAAATACTCCCAAAATAAAATCCTTCTTTGAAAAATAGTCTTATCTAGTTGCTCAGAGTTTAGACTCGGGATGGATGATTTAAGAGCCTGGTCGTTCTGGAGACTTTTGAGAGAGAATTGATCTTTGGAGCTAAATCTGCCAGATTATATACCGCTTGGCTATTTCAGCACATGTGTTGAAATGGACATTTTTATGTATAATTATGGATATTGTGTATAGTTTAAGAGCATACTTTATTGTCTGTGGGGTGTGTTGGGATGTGATGGGACAGAAGCTTTGCCTTAGAGCAGTAGTTCTCAAACTTGGGAATGGATCAAATTTATCTATGAAATTTGCTAAAAATACAAATGCTTGAACTTCGCCCCAGACATGCTAAATCTTGCTTGTGTGTAGTACCCAGGTTTCTGTAGATACGAAAAATTCTACAGGTGGTTTTGGTGCAAGCCAAAGTTTAAGCAGCACCCCACAGCATCTGTCTAGACCCGGGATTCGTCACTCCTGGGGAGACTTTAAGCTCAGCTGTTAATGGGTACAGGAGGAAGAGAAGGTGATGGACTCTCTGGAGAATCAGTCCTTTGATCGTGTTGGATTTATAATACCTCACTTTCCCGAAATTCACAGCTATTTAATAGCACAGAAAGATGGCAATGAAACTAGTCTGTATATGCTCCAAGGACATGTTTAATTTTATATTTGTAGACCCATAGCAGCTGGCACAGTATCTTTCATGATAGGGGCTAAGTAACTAGATGTTGACTTAATGAATGAATGAATAAGAATGGACAATAAGTACAGAGTTCATATTAAGAAAGCTGAGCTTGAAATGAGAAAACCCGGCCCATATTCCAGTTCCTGCCATACAATAGCAGTTTGAATTTGCTAATTAAAAAAAATCCTGAAATGTTTCTTTTCACGTGGAATAGAAATGATGATGTGTACCTCAGAGGGCTGTTATAGGCATGAACTAAGAGTATAGTGGTGAACGTGCTTTAAAAATTGTAAAGTGATATAAACGTGTGTGGCAATATCACTACCAGTAGTACTAGTTCTGCTTCGGCCCTTACTCATCCTACTATTACTACCCCATGACCTCTCAGATCCTAATGAAAAACAAGATCATTTGCATTCTGCTCTACCAATACACGATTACTCACATAGTAGTTGTGCGTGTATTTCTACGCAGGGCTGGATTTGAGTAAGGTTCATATTGAAGTCTTCAGAGTGTAGCTTTCTCTTTCCTGATCGAATTTTTTCCCAGGAAATGTTTTCGATGTTCCATGGTTCAGATTAGCTGCTGTCTGTTCTACAAATGACAATAAAGTAAATTAAGCCTGTATTTTTCCTGCTTTCAGATCTCAGTTGTGAGAGAGGAAAACAATTCCTTGCACTTGACCCATCCTCTGTGTATTCTGTGCCAGACTGTGTTACACAACAGAATTACAGAGTTAAGGAGGTTTAGAAAGTAATTCACCCTTTAGGGCATTAAGAGACAATACAGGTCAAAATCCTGTATCCACAATTCTGAAATCTGCAGAAGTCTGAAAATGGAAGCTTTTCTCAAGATCGGCATCGCAACTCATTCTGCAGACGTAAGTGTTAAGGGGTCTGTTGCCCCTCCCACTGAACCTGTTCGGAGGTGTCCCTGCAGAAGTGTCAGTGAGTTGATACAGGGTTGCCCCGGTGCCCCTGGTGGAGGGGCCATGAATGCATGTGTGATACTTGCACAGGCTCCCTTTCTAAAGTCTGAAACACACAGGGCCCCAAGGATTTCAGAAGTGGACTTGTAGCTCCTGAGTCAGTCAGTTCTTCAAGTGAGGGCTCCTATTATAAGTGTGGGTTTGTCTTAATTGTCGAGCTGCTCCTTTGAGAACGCTTTGTATTTAAAAAAATAAACCCCCGGAGGGGAAGTACGCCACCTGAAATGATGAGTTTCTGATAGCGGGAAGTACAGCATTGTTTAAAGATCACTGCAGTTGCTTTCTAGAATGAGAAATCCTAACACTTGTCCTTAGATCATACGGGGGCAGTTTCAAACCATCTTGCAATTTGGACAACCTCTTTCACCAAGACATTCTGAGATGTAATAAGGAATTGAATCCTAAGATGCCTCTGGCATAAACAGCAAACTTATCTTTAATGCTCATGCATATGAACTCACTGAGTAAAGTAACTTAAAATGCATTGTTTTTGGTGCAAGAAGCAGATTTTAAGCTAAATGTATGCAACTGCATTGTAGATTTCTAAAAGATTTTCAAATGTGCACATGAATCCCTGTTGGGAAAATATAGTGCCTAGTAAATATTTCATTTATGTTTTACTATAAACAAATCTGAGTATTATCTAAAAATTTGATAAGCTGAATTTGTCTTGAATTTATTTATTTTTTCTGATACTGCATCAGTTCTGTTAATACTGTAGGGTCTTATATTTCACAAAGGCACTTCTAATGATGGAAAAGAAGTTGTAGACCCTTGAGGATGAGCAAATGAACTTCTTTTTATCTCTTACGGGATTTTTGGAGAAATTATTATTGCCCAATCCTTTCGGCTCATCCAGTATTCCCAAATTCCATAACCTCTCATCTCTCCCTGAGACGATTCTAAATATAAGTCATTTGTGGATAAATCATTTAGAGAGTTTAGAGAGAGACACACCTGGTATTGATACTCAGAAACTTCTGGAATTCGGTAAAGAAATGATTGAAAAGGTACAAGCTCTTGAAAGTCTCTGGATAAGGAAGGAATCAAGAAATATCTTGAGATTTATGGAACTAATACTTTTTGGAATGAATCCCAAGATCCTGGCATTGTGGATGCATGGCGCTTCAAAAGGAGAAAGAGCTAAACTGGGAATCTTGTCTACACTTGTAAATTTTTCTGATCCATAAAATGAGAGGATTCATAGTAAAAGCTTTAAATTTTCCCAGTTGTTCCATTCAGATTGGCCTCAGTCGCCAGGCAGGAAAATGGATTTTGTTCATTTAAGTGAAGTGATAATAAATAATCTCTATGAATTAGGATTTCTGAGGCAGCAACAAATCACAGAAGCTGTAGGCACAGTCTATGCTATGAGGAATACATCCGATTTTTCTCAGCCCTTTCTGAACCTCAAAAACAAGACATTGATAAAATTTTGACTCATGTCTATCTAAATGTCTTCCAGGACAAAGATTCAGCTTTACTTCTCTAGATTTACTCTTCATTTTACCAATATATTTATAAATTCTTGAGCATTCAGAGGAGAGGGTCTTTGCTGTCTTTCCTTACACAAATCTCAAAACACATTTTAGATATCATAAAGCAATTTAATTTCCAAAACATCAGTGAAGCATTTGCATTTTTTTCTTTTTCTTTTTTTCTTTTTTTTTTTTTTATGAAGGAAACGGGAGAAGGAGATAGGGAACTTGTTATTAAGCAGCTAATCTCAATCTTGCCTGATATTGGAACGGATTTCAGGTGTTGAATATATGTATGTGGGTGTTTGAGTTTTTTTTTTTAATTAATTAATTTTTGGCTGTGTTTGGGTCTTCGTTTCTGTGTGAGGGCTTTCTCCAGTTGTGGCGAGTGGGGGCTACTCTTCATCGTGGTGCGTGGGCTTCTCACTGTTGCGGCCTCTCGTTGCGGAGCACAGGCTCCAGACGCGCAGGCTCAGTAGTTGTGGCTCACGGGCCCAGTTGCTCTGCAGCATGTGGGATCCTCCCAGACCAGGGCTTGAACCTGTGTCCCCTGCATTGGCAGGCAGACTCTCAACCACTGCGCCACCAGGGAAGCCCCAGCATTTGCATTTTTATATGAGACAACAGGGTTTCTTAGGGGAATTTCTGAAGTATCTTACTGTCAACAGTTGCTTTTAATTTTTAACGTTTTGGAGCTTCAAGTCCAATCCCTGTTGTCTACAGAGGGCCCCGCAGTGGAAGTGATCCACTCTACTTTTTCTTTATTTCAGTATGTGAGCCAACTCGTCAATGGCTCAGCAGAAGCCCTGCTGGGTAGTGAACGCTTTGTTCTGGGTAATAAAAGCGTTTCTTCCGTGAATCATTCAATAGATGAGGGGTCTTCATCTATTCTCCCGTGGGCACAAATCCTTTCAAACCTCTCAGCAAATGGCAGTGAGTTCCATGAGTTTACGGCCGTTCACTGTACCATTTCATGGCTGCAAATGTGGACCCAGATCTGTGGACGACTGGCTCAAATATTTCAGCTGGACACGAATGTTTTCACTCCTCTTCGTGTTGGTCTCACTCAGATTTTGGCTGTTCTGGAAAGTGATGTGAAAATTCCCAAAAGCTGCCAGGGAATATTTCCAGATGTGGAAAACAAAATGAACTCTACTTTGAAGCTTGTTACTTGGATGTTGAATATAATGATGGGACCTTATTGTTCATTGAATATGTCAAAAATAAATTGTGTGAACGTTTACTTAAAAAATGTGACTGACTTTCTAAACGTTATACTTAATGCAGTCTTTGAAAAAGAAAAGGTACCAAAATCTGAGATTTTATTAACTCTTTTAAATGATTCCACAAACCAAGTAAGGATGATTATCAACAACTTAACAAGGGACTTTGATTCTGCGCCTCAATCCAACTGGAAACATTTTACTGAATTAATTCTAAAACGCATAGAAATGTCAGATGAAATGCCTCGTCAGTTTCAAGGTATTTGGCTGCATTTAGTAGCTCTGGGGAAGGAAATTCAAAAACTTGTGAAAGATATTTCCCCTAACATCCTGGAAAAGAACACCTCTTCTAAAACTGAAAAAAAAATTAAACATATTTGCTACCAGTCCAAAGGAAAATAGTATACACAGATTAGGCTGTTCATTTTATCAGTTAGCTAGTTACCTTGCCTTCAATTTATCCCATGATCTCCAAATTTCACCCCAGATAATTTCTCATGGATTAATGAAAGCCATGGGTCTCAGTATTGAATTCATGAGGGAGGCGATCAACACCCTGACGCCCTCAGTTTATCACGATATTCCACAAGAGCCAGGTAATATTCAAGTTTTAAAGAAGGTAACTTCTCTCCTGTGCATGGTCAAGGAAACAGACATACACCTGCTAGTAGACCAGCTGGAACAGATAAGTGAAAGCCTGATGGATTTCTTTTCTTTTCTTTTTTTATTTAAAACATCTTTATTGGAGTATAATTGCTTTACAATGGTGTGTTAGTTTCTGCTTTATAAAAAAGTGAATCAGTTTTACATATACATATGTACCCATATCTCTTCCCTCTTGCATCTCCTTCCCTCCCACCCTCCCTATCCCACCCCTCTAGGTGATCACAAAGCACCGAGCTGATCTCCCTGTGCTATGCGGCTGCTTCCCACTAGCTATCTACTTTACATTTGGTAGTGTATATATGTCCATGCCACTCTCTCACTTTGTCCCAGCTTACCGTTCCCCGTCCCCATATCCTCTAGTCCATTCTCTAGTAGGTCTACGTCTTTATTCCCATCTTGCCCTAGGTTCTTCATGACCATTTTTTTTTTTAGATTCTGTATATATATGTGTTAGCATACGGTATTTGTTTTTCTCTTTCTGACTTGCTTCACTCTGTATGACAGACTCTAGGTCCATCCACCTCACTAATAATAACTCAGTTTCATTCCTTTTTATGGCTGAGTAATATTCCATTGTATATATGTGCCACATCCTCTTTATCCATTCATCTGTTGATGGACACTTAGGTTGCTTCCATGTCCTGGCTACTGTAAATAGAGCTGCAATGAACATTTTGGTACATGACTCTTTTTGAATTATGGTTTTCTCAGGGTATATGCCCAGTGAGATTGCTGGGTCTTATGGTAGTTCTATTTTTAGATTTTTAAGGAACCTCCATACTGTTCTCCATAGTGGCTGTATCAATTTACATTCCCACCAACAGTGCAAGAGAGTTCCCTTTTCTCCACACCCTCTCCAGCATTTAATGTTTGTAGACTTTTTGATGGTGGCCATTCTGACCGGTGTGAGATTTCTTTAAGAATGTCAGTAGGTTAGGTACTGGCAGTTTGGGGGTCAGCTTCTTTGTTGACTTGATGGAAAAACTTGTGGACAGCTCACATTCTTGGAGTGTTAACCACCTGCTGAGGTTCTCACGCCTGCTTCCTAAAGAGGACTCCGATGCCTCCGTCGACGTGTACTATGTGCTCCCTTGTGCCATGAGGCTCCTGTGGGACGTGGGTGACAAAAACATCATGGAGGCCCTCAAGGACGTCTGTAACTTTACGCTCCTGCATGGCATAAGCCTTTCAGACGTCACCAAGGAAGACTTCACTATTGTGATTAAAACTCTTTTGGACACAATTGAATTACTATCAGATCAACCAGGCATCCTTTCAGAGGCTTTAACTTGTCTTCCTGTGTTTTGGCGCTGGAATCACACAACTTCTGGATTTCAGCAGAATCCAAGGTCAGGAGCCTGTGATGCCCACAAGCTCACGTCTCCTTCCTTTAACAGCAAAGTGGCCAGTATCCTTGACCACCTCCACCTGTCTTCCCCAGGTGAAGACTCACAATGTTGGAATGAAGCTCACAGGTGGAAATAACTAGGAAAGTAGCCTGTGTAATTCATGAATTAATGGATTGGAATTCCATTCTTCTAGAGCTGTCCAAAGTCTTCCATGTTAAAACTTTGCTTGTGAAAACTGTGCAAGAATTTTGGCATAAGGTGTTACCATTTGTCCCATTTTCGGGAAATTAAAGCAATAGCAGCATCTCTGAACTTTGTCCCAGCGGTTCCATAAAGCAAATTGCTTTGCAAATCATAGAAAAATTAAAAAAAGGCAACTTTACAAAAGCCACATCAGATGAAAACCTCCTTGATTAACTAGCTAGTTTAAACAAGATCCTTAACGTTGATGAAGGAACAGAATCATCTGTTAGAAATATTTCCTTACATTTGGAAAGGATAATAAACTTGCTTTCTAGGGATGAGAGCCTAGAAAATAGTGCTAATTCTGTAGTCTCTCCATTCATGACATTTCTGAATGAAATGGTTGTAGTTTAGAAGCACTATCACATTTTATTAAAAAAAGTGAAACAACTTACAACTGTGAAGAACTATGGCTTGAGTTTCAACAAATCATGAAAGATCTAACCCATAACTTTAGTATCAGATCCCTGTTTTCTGAAATTAACGAAGAAATACAAATTACTAATTCAGTGGCTCTTCAAAACCTAACTTTGCCACTTGCCCATTTTTTCGAAAGCCTGGATTCATCATCCTTGAAGACATTAGAAATCATTGAAGAGTTTTTATTGGTCATAAAAAACTGGGTTCATAAATATGCAAATGAAGATTACTCCAAAATGATACAAACATTATTTCTTCTTGCAGCTAACAACTGATGATATAGCTTTGTTGCCTAAAGATATTGCTACCATTTGGGGTAATCTCTAAAATGTTTCCAGAGAAGATAATTTTGATGTTGCCCTACTTCTTCGTCTGCTAAACCAAGAACAGCTAATTAATTTCTCAGTTGTTCAGCTGCTTTTTGAAAGCTTCCTAATTAATTCAATCAACAACTTAGCTGAGAGTGCTCGAGAAGCAGCCTTGAATTTAAGTGATACCAACCTTCAAATAATGAATTTCATTAACCTCGCCTTGAACCATACACAGTCAGAAAATGGTGAGAGAATCATTCTCCCTCCAAGAAGCATAGTGGATTTCTTGAAACAGCTTTTGAAAACATTCTTCCCCTTTTTACTAAAGGAAAATTCTGGGGACAAAATATCTCTTCTGCTGAAAGACTTCCACAAAAATGTCATTGCAGAGATGAGGTGAGTTTACTTTTGCTTTGTATAGTGCTTGTAGTTGCACGTTACAATCCAGTTTATTTCCTGGAGTTTATAGTGTCAATGACAGCACTTGTACCAACACCTTTGAATGATCTTTGAAGTGAATTTTGTCTTAATGAACGTTTTATAAAAATCAAGGTAAAATAACTTTGATGATTGTCATCTAACTAGTAAATATATTTATATAAGCCTAGCCCCTGGGAATTAATCACTTATTATGCTTTATTACAGTTTTGGATTATGAAATTAATTATAAAATTCTATTTTATATGGAACTGAAAAATTGTTATTATATATGTATATGGATATATGTGATGGTCATATTAATGCATTAACTGTCTAATCACAAATGAAGGGCTTAAGTATTTTCATTCCAATAAATCTACTGATGTTTATATTTGGAATTGCTAAAACTCCAAAATTTTAAAACTCAGAGTCACATTATGTTTTTTCATATATTATTTTTTCATTCCTTTTGAAGCTTGCCAGTGAAAAGGCTGGAGGGAGATTCTACCTTATTCTGTGATGTCCATATCAGTCAGGTCTCAACCTCAGAAGCAGAACCAGAGCAAAGACTTCATACAGGGACTGAATTGGCTTCCGCAGTTTTGGGGCTGGCTGAGGGAGTCCAGAGTCAGCAGGGCAGGCTGTTAGGAAACAAGCTGGAATCCCACAAGCAGGAGCTGCAGGTTCCCATCCACAGGGGGCCGTTGGGGGGCGGGGGCAGGGCGATGGGGAAGGAGGTATCCAGCTGCGCATGAGGGTGGGCTCGCTGGGTCCGGGAGGTCCTAACCTTCTCGAAGACCTTGCAACTGGTGAGGTCAGGCTTCCCCAGGGCAGCATACCTTCTCCCTGACTTAAAGCTGGCTGTCTGGGGTCTTCAGTCACATCTGATGAATCCCTTCCAGCTGCACCTAGGTTAGTGTTTATGATGCTACAAAGTGGCTGTCGTGCACTCTCACGAGCAAATCACCTGTGAAGCCCACCAGACCAGAAACACACAAGAAAGGGGCTCTGGGGCTTGAATCTGGGGCTCGGCCCAACCGAGTTGACAAGTCACAGAGCCCCTGCCACACTGAGTGACTCGCTAGGTCTTGGAACATTCAGAAGGACGTTACCTGTTACACTGAGAATCATTGTACGGTCATTTCACGTTCCTTTCCTTTCTAAAAGCAAAGTGCATGGCTTTTTAAGATGTTAGGTTTGAGGCATTGCAATGGATTTATACATGAAATCCATCCAATCTTTTCATTATTTGGCAACAAAACATTAATTTTCATCTGGGATATATTTTAGCATTTCAGTATTTCAGTCAGTATTATCCTCCCATGATGCTACTGTAAAGCAAAAAAAAAATCACTACAGTTCACCCTTGAACAACCGCATGGGCCCAGTTATAAGTGGCTTTTTCAATAAATAGGTACTACAGTACTACCTGATCCACAGTTGGGTGAATCCGTGGATATGGAACCACAGACATGGAGGCTGGCTGCAAAAGAAAGTCAGTTCCCATAAACTTCAGGTTGTTCAAGGGTCAACTGTGTATGTTTTCAATCTTTTCATTACTAACCATGAAATTTAAAATATATATATTTACAGTTTTGTCCCAAATGATAAAATTCTAGAAAATTTGAAACTGGATCATTTTCTCATCTCTATGAAAGAGGACAGATTGGTGAACATTTTTTCATCTTTAAAGGAAGCTGTGTATCACCTAATCAAAATCTCATTTATGTTAGACGGTGGAGAATTTTATTTTGATAATCCTTAAGGATTGCAGTTAATGGGAGATTTATTGCACACTCTTCTAAGGGAAACCTCAATGAAAAATGAGACTGAAAATAATCTGGAGTTTCTTACGGTGGTGAATCAGTTGCTTTCCCATATGAACAGTTCTGAGGACCTTTTCAAACTCAATCAAGATCTCAGGTCTGCTCTTCACCTCGTGAGAGAAACGTCAATAGAGATAGCACATCTCGTGGACACTCTTTTAAACTCTCCTACTAAGGACTTACATGCCCTGTACCCTGCCCTCCAAGAAGTTATACTCACTAATCTAACCGATTTGCTTTCCTTTATAAATAGTTCATCCCCCTTAAGAAACAGAGTAACGTTAGAAATTACCAAGCACTTACTTGGTGTTATCTCAAGGGCAAGAGTGGGTGGAGACAGTCATGCCCTGGACCCCCTCTCAGAAATGTCCAGAACTCTGACCATGCTGGTGGACGATGGCGCCAAAATGAGAGGTCTCGCCACCTCCATCACCTCCACCGCGGACCTTCTTAAGCTGGCCGAGAAAACTTCAAGAGAGGTGGCTGCCATGTTTGAAATGCCTTTTGTCTTCACAGCCAATGACACCATGAACTTCTTGGACACACTTTATTCCATTTTTCAACAAAGTGTTCGAGATGTTGCCAATGAAATGATTAATTTGAAAAAAGCAGATCGTTTAATATTTGAAAATATAGATGACTTGTTGACACCATTTCTTGACTTGGCCTTTGGGATGATTGGAGTCAAACCTGCTGTTTCCCAAGACTCTGATATTTTCAATGTGTCATCTAGCATATTTACATATGTGATCCAGTCCAAAGATATTTATGATATTAGGGAAGAAATAGCTGAATTTTTAACTTCTGTGAAAATCAATTTGGGAGACATGGAATGTCTTGTGGCAGCATTTAATAATGGGACCCAAATATTTTCTGTGGATTCTGTCAACTTATGGGAAGAAATCCTGGACTGCTTAGTTCCTATAAATAAATCATCAATCACAAAGACTTTTTATATTCTAATCCAATTTCCACTCATAATTTGCCTCAAGATACAAAAGGGGAAAGAACTTGTGAAGTGATCCTGTTTTTGCATGAAATACCATCACGAAACAGCATGGAACTAGGGACTTACTTGAGAAAGGTGATCGACCTCACCTCAGAAGCGCTTTGGCATAAGTTAGGGAAGGACAACAAGGATGTTCTTAGTCTGTTGCTGACATTGGCTCCACATCCAAATGACCTTTTGAAAACCGTAACAGCAGTTGGAAAGGCCTCCAGTGGGTTGAAAAGTGACAACAGAGGTGATTTGAGTAAAGCTTTGCTTTTCAGCACTTCTTTGATTCAGGACGTGACTCACCAACAACTCAGAGAAGCAGTCCAGAGCGTGTTAAGTAGACTAGCTCTCGTGAGTCAAGAGCTTCTCCTCAACAGCTCTCAGAAGACACACTCCTTGAGCACTTTGTTTCAGCACATTTTTGAAATTTTTATTAATTCAACCCCTGGAGAGAATAGCAGGTCAAGAAAAGATGAGAAGACCAAGGAAGAGCTGGTTGACTTTCCTGATGTCCTCAAACCATGATCACATTTTGAGAAATACCAGAAGGGATTGATTGCATTGGCTGGATACTGGCAAAAGGTCTCACTGATCCATCCAAGGTAATAAAACAGTGAATTTGCTTCATTTTCCCCTGCAGTAACTATAAAACAGAATCAGGCAGGAATTGCACTGAACCAGGGTAAGCAGTCCTCCTTGAGCTCAACCTTCCTTACACTCTGAAGCTGGCTTCCCCAGGGCATGGCTCATGCCCAGCCTCTTGTCGCTATTTGCCTCGTTATTTGGCATTCAAATACGATTTGAATTTATCCTAAATTTCTCCAAAGTAAATTATTTTTTCAAAAGTAAAAACGTCTTATTCTATTCACGTGCCCCAAGACTAGGTATGTAACCAGTTTTTCTGTTCCCCTGCTCTGGCAGCCGAAGGTTCTGCTATTTGACATGCAGATAAAAATCTGAGGCCATTCACATCACACAGAAAACTGTGCTGTCAAGGGTAACTGCCCCCTGGACAGGGCCGGGCTTCTTCCCTCCTTAGATTCAACCTGACTCTGTGGTTGATCTATGTCCAAGCACTGGCCGCCCACCCCGAATAGTAGGTCAGGGAAACCCTGCTCTCGGAAGGCCCAGCGCTGTTGGCTGTCATGCTCCGGGGGTCATCTGCTGCCTTAGGATGAGGGCGTGTGCAGCTGTGTCCCAGCCCATCCTCTCTGTGTGACAGTACGGTTCTGGTGGTCTGTGGTCTCTGAGTCCCACAGGGAGATTGAAAGTGAACCCTCTCTCACCTGCCAGGTAGCCTGACTTATCCTCGGTTAGTCCTGTTGCCACACGGCTGCACCTTGAATCCACTCCTTTTTAATAACCTGGAAGGATCTCCTTGGATACTGAAGCATGTGTCTGTTGGCACAAAGAACTATTGGTGCCTTGGAATTTGAATGATGGCTTTCAGAGCCTCATTGTTTCTGATCCTAAACTGTGTTTGACTTGACACTCGGCTCTGAATTTTCATTTCAGCTGGAGTTGGTCCTGGCAAGCCCTGCTCTTCACCAGTCCTGGCTTTCACCTACTGTTTCCAGTTCTCCACGGAGTGGATTTACACTGTGACCCCAAGACTTGAAAGTGGGCTGTGAGCTGACTGGGTGTAGTCACCACCCCAGTTTTTAAATTTGCAAGGCTTGGTGCCCAGTTTCATTCTACTTTAGTGATTACTTGCTTCCACTCTTTCTCCTGTATTCACTATTCTTTGATCATGGCCTTCTTGAATGAGGAAGATACAAAAAGTCTAAAACAGAAAATGCACCTGTTGTGGGTTTAGGGTCAGACTAGCCTGACTTGGATGTGAGTTTTGGTTCTACAGTTCACTAACTTTCTGAATCAAGGCAAATCCTTTAAACTTTCTGAACCTCCCTTTATTTGTGTATAAAACAGGGATAACACTGATACCTTTTGGGGGTATGGTAAGGATTCTACAGTAAAATAAACGTAAGCTATGCACTTAACATGCATGTTAATTTGGGTTTAAGACATGAAGCATATTAGGGATAAAACAACAACCACAGACATCTAGGCAAAAACATTAGCTTAAAATTAAAATAATAAGAACAACAAAACTCCTAAAAAAGTAGAAAGGTCCATTAATATCCTAAAGATTTACTACAAGTTCCCAGATGGCAGAGGTCAGGGATCTAGAGCAAATTTGGGCAGAATTCATTTCTCCTGTCTCTGCTTCAGTGCCTGCAGTTATACAGAGAAGAGAAGCTTGGTCGTCCCAGACCTGAATCCACTGTTTTTGTCCCAAGGAACCCTCTGGCCCTATGTCATCTCCCCGCTTCTGGTCGGGCCTCATTCAGCAGCGAGTGTCATCACCTGTGTTACGTCCCATTAGAGCCCAGCCCCCTGTGGAAGTGAGTGCTGCTTTTAGGCTCTTCCTCAGTCCCTAAATCTATCATAGCACTAAGGCCAGTGAGCTGCAGGGGCAACGGGGGTCAGAAACAGAAGGCAGTACCTGGCTCTGTTCCCTCCTTGTGTCTGAAGCCTTTGCAGCAAGTCCCCGGAGAGGGGTGGGGGACATGCACCCCACCCCCGGAGGCCCTCTGCCCCCGTGTGAGGTGGTGGCCCTGCAGCCTCACCTGGGAGCTGGTTGGAAATGCAGAATCCCAAGCTGCCTCGTACCTGCCCCGTCACAGCCTGCGATGGGCCGCCAGGCAGTCCTTAAGATGCGAGGGTTTGTGAGCCTCCTTCTGGACCACGTTCCTCATCTCAGAGGCCGAGAGACGAGGGCCTGTGGCAGCTCTGCTGAGCAAGTGGCCAGTGGCGACCGCACAGGGACCGTCAGATCTGACCCTTCCTTCCAGGCCCACAACGCTTGGGGCACAACTAAAATGCTGTCATTAAAATCCCACAATTTACTCAAAGTCTATATATAACATTACCTGATGGGGATTAATAAATGGCCCTACACATCATTATGGTTTTCTTCTGGCCAGAAACAAAAATTACATGTAAGCTCATCTTTCTCTGGGGCTAAAACAAGTTGCTAATAACTATTTCCCATCACCAGTTATTTTCCAATTCAGCTATATTTTTTTATAGTTGAAAAATTAACTTTATGTTGTGTGTTGTTTGGAGTAATCCTTTGCTCTTGTATCTGGCTTCCTTAGAGGATTTTGTATAATTCCACCTGAACTTCAAAAGCGCCAAATGGCTTCCTAGTCTCTTCATCCACAGTTAATTGCCGTAACTGTAAAGAAACCAGTTTTCATCACCTCAAGCATCCCAGCGCCCTGTCCATACGTGCATTTGGTCACTGAGCTTGCTTGTGTCCTGATAGGTACACACAGCTCCACCACGCTGAAGTTTCCGAATTAGCACATGAGAATTGCATTCTTTAAGGACTGGCTGGGCTCTGACAACCAAGACACAATAATCCAATGAAGGAAAATTCACGTTTGCCGAGGGAGGTGGCCCTGCTAAGCCCTCAGGTGTGTTGAACTAAGCAAGATTGTTCTGTGGTCACGTCAACACCACGGCAGAATGAAAAGTTAAACATTTTTTTAGAAAGTTTCATTCTTCCTCTGAGGAGAGTAAATTTAGAACAACATGCTGTAGAAATATTGAATTGCATATAAAAGAATGAAACTTTGCTGTGGTCCCCGGAAGCCATGCTGCAGGCTGTCTCAGCATCCTGGTGCCTTCTCCAGCGCGGTGATGTTTTCTCAGACCAGTGATGCTGCTGTGTCCGCCCTAGCAAGAGAGCCCAGGACGGGGTGACTCAGCATGATGTCGATGGGGCTGGCCTGTTGAGAAGCCAACGGGCCTTTGTTTTTTTTTAAAATCAGTCTCCAGGGCTTGTCAAGGATATTTATTTTCAGGGAATGTCCTTGGGCAGCTGTAGCCTTAATTAGTCGATGTGGCCCACAGTTAAAAAAAAATATATATATATATATATTTTTTTCTTTTCGAAGTGCTTCCCAGATAATGTTATTTATATGTTCAGTGTGTCTGATGTTTGGGATGGTTTTGAGTTTTGTAAAGAATATAGAAACTCATCTGAGGGAGGAACAAAAGCCATGGGGGGCTTAAGATGCGACAGTTTGTGAGCTGCTCTTCTGGACCACGTTCCTCATCTCAGAGGCTGAGAGACCAGGGCCTGGGGGGTTAGAAAGATAAGGGTTAAAGCTGAGAGCCTCAGTGGCGTTAGGACCTAAGTCTGAAGAAGAATTCAGCGCTTCTGAGCCAGGGCAGCTTATTACAAAGTTGGTCGGGAGGCTTTTTTGCCACATTACCGGAGCTGGCTCCATAAAGACCAACACACACAGGTGTATACACACAAGTACACCTATGCACGCATGCGAACACAGAGACTTGCGCGCACGCATACACACACACACACGCACACACACACTATGGCACTCCAGGAGTCTGTTTAAAAATAAGAGTCTTCCTTACGTAAAGGTGGGTTTCCATACCCACGTGGAAAACGTAAGAATCCCCACCTGGCTTCCTCCTTTCTCTCTCACACTCTGATCATGTACCTTTGCATTTCGAGAGGAAGGCCTCAGACAAGAAGAGAGAGCAAATGTCACGTTTGTTGGCAACAAAATGACGCTCTGAACGAAAACAGGAGACCTGCCGTTTCCTAGGCTGTGTCCTCGGATGTCTGTGGAGCGAGCTGGCCCAGCAGGGGAACGGTTCGTTCACGAGTGTTACGACGTGTTCTCGCACAGAGAAGCAGATCCTCACCTTTAACGCCGCTGTTTCCCCCTAAGTGCCGCGGAAGCGTGTCGGGCTTTCCCGCAGCCTCGGAGCCCCCAGGACCTCGAGGTGATTCTGTGGAGAGTGGAGATGCTGGTCCAGCGTGTGCTCGTCCTTCTTGCAGGTGGGCTGCTTGGGGAGAAGGGCTGCCCAGTGGCCCCGCCGGGCGGGCAGCGAGGTGGTCAGGTGCCCCTGAGTTTCTCCTGGGCTCAAGCGCAGCCTTCTTGCCCGTTTCCAAGGCCCTGAGTCTCCCCAGCCTCCCCACCCCCGGGCTGCGACCTTCTCCAGTCAGCTGAATGGCCCTTCCCTGCCCGAGCTCGGCTTCTGGGCTGTGTCTCTGCTCCTGGAATGTGCTTCCCTGTGTTTGTGGCCTGACCTTCAGCTGTGCCCTGCGGCTAGAGCCGGGGTGGGGGGGGGGGGGGCTCTTCCCGGAGGGATGCCTGCATCCCCTTCGCTGGCAGTGACCTTGAGTTGACCTCTATCGAATGCAGTGTTAATGCTCCTATTTCTTTTTTTTTAAATGGATATAGGAAACAAATTTATCTAATAATAAATATTATGTTTAGTGGTATTACAGAGAACTACAGACTATGGCGGATATCCAAACACTGAATAAACGTGGGTGAACATTAGTAGGAAGTATTTGAATAAGGTAACAGTCATATCTCCCAGCAAGGTTAACAGCACTACCAGAATCACGTGAAGAAGCTGCCAACTTAAGCATTTGTTTTGCTTCCCAGATGTGTTATTTTTTGTAACACCACTCATAGGATTTGTATAACGTATATGATGCATGTAAATGTATTGATCTTTATTTTATTTGCAAGAATGACTCACCGTTAGCAGCAGATGGGGCCACGAACACACACCTACAACATGGCAACAGCTCCAAGCAACATGAGCTGATTGGATGGTGACCACTTCTCTCTTGACTTCAACCTTCAGCTCCACGTGTCAGCAAAACCTTACAGAGCAAAGGTCAATGGAATTCTGGCACAGACATGGTAAATCAGGGCAAGTGCAACTAACTCCCGTGCCAGTACTAGCTCGCTCTCACTGACTGCCAGTCCCCTGCCTGCTGTGGCCGACCTTTGATGAGTCCTTTGCCTTTTACCCTCTTCCCAGCGCTGACTAGTTCCCATTCACTTGGTGAGACCTCCTGAGCTCTGAATGCTGCTTCTCTCTAGTTGTTCCTTCTCAGGCTTCTCCAACACACTTCCCTAATGCTCCTATTTCTTAAGTCTCCCCCTCCCCCGGCGTCAGTCTTCCTTGAAGGCAGCATCCTTGTCTTCCTCTCCTGCGTGTGCCCAGTGCCTGGGGTAGAAGATCGTTCCACTGACCGGGGCTGGGTGACCCATGCAGTGACCCGAGTCCCAGAACGTGTTCTCTAAAGTCCTGGCACTCAGTGCTTGTATTTTAGCTTTTTGTGGCCCTTCCTGCAGTCGTCTGCAGCTTCACTGAGAGCAGGATCTGTCACTCATTCAGTTCTGTCTCCATGATGCTCAGAGTAGAGTCTATGCTAGTGAGTCATTAATACTTATATTGTAAATGAGTTCACTCGTTTGAGATCCTGCTTGTCAAATCCACTACTACAGATTTCAGTGAAATTTCCTCTTCATGCCATTGCTGAAGGAAAGTGCCATGAGCGGCCTTACAGGGCTGCTGGGTGATTTTCAGGACTTTCTCTAAGGTGTAAACTCTGGTCTCTGAGCACTTCTGAGTCCGTAGACTGGGCCAGCAGTACTGGAGTGACTCTGCCCATGCACGTGTGTTGCTGCCTTTTCACGCCTGGTCTCCTGAATGAGGCTGCAGAGAACCCTCTCCTTGCTGTCGGGCCTGAGGTCCTTGACAGCAGGGGCAGCAGGAGTGCTGCGGAGATGGGTGTGAGTGCAGAGGAGGACATGGGTAAGCCAAGGGTGGGCTGATCAGGAAAAGAGAGGAGCTGAGGTCAGCGGAGTGGGCCGTGAGCCCTGGGCCCTGTGTGGAGCCCGCCAGGCTGGCCCTGCACCCGTCCCAGGTGCATCCGACACACCGTCTATTCTGCTTCCTCCTCCTGACTTACTCTCAGGCTGTTGTTATTATCTAGATAGGTGTTACCTCCTCTGGGAAGCTCTTCTTGGCCTCCACTCCTGGGGTCAGGGGCCCTGCATTAGGCCCCTTGGCTGTGCCCTGCGGGGCGGCCGGCCCGTGGTCTCCTCACGACCGGGCCTGCCTGTTGATCAGCAGAAACCCAGCGTGTGGGGACTGGAGCACATGCTGGCAGATGTTTGCTGAATGACGGAATGAGCACGTGCCAGGAGCCCTCACTGCTTGTATCTCTGTCCCCTGGGACTCCTGCCTGTGCAGGATCCGTGGGGTTTTACGCTGACGTCCTGGAGGGAATGTCCGGCCACGGCCAGCAGTGGATGGGCCCAGGTGTGTCACTGAACGGGTGTGCGGGGCTGGAGGACACCGTGGAGAGCTTGCTCGGGACGCAGGGCAGGCGCGGCCAGGTCCACCGCAGGGAGATCAGTCTGGTGACCCAGGGTGGTTAACTGGGGGATGCAGGTGGCAGAGACTGGGAGCCAGGAGTCGGATCAGCCCCCACCTGGGGCGTCGGGAGAGGCCAGCCTTGGGTAGGAACCAGCATGTCAAATACCTTTGCAAACAAACGTAAACAAATGAGGTTTGCTCAGGGCAGTCTTGGTTTTCACCTACGGCCTGAGTAGAGATGAGCAGAAGGGCCGCAGTTTGAAGGTGGGTCGCAGGCCCCCCATCCTCCACTAGGGGCGCCACCTGCTCGTCACAGCCAGCCTACGCCTCCGCTGTCACTGAACACTCCTAACGCCACTGTGCCTTGACCAGGTCACGCCCAGGATGTGGGCCTGCTCCTCACAGGCCTGTCCCTCTGCCCCCGCCCCACGCCGCCGCCAGTTCGCTGCCGCCCGGAACCACGAGCTCTCCCTAAAGGAGGCGGCTGGTGATGGGGTCAGTGATGGACTCTGGCCAGCAGCCTCCATCCCGCCGGCACTCTGCTTTCCTCACCCGTCTTCCCAGGACCACAGGTGCCTCCTGCAACCAGGCTGCCCCCCCGCCCCGCCCCGCCCCGCCCCCCCTGCCCCGGCGCTCGGCCCCGCCCCGGCGCTCGGCCCCGCCCCGGCGCTCGGCCCCGCCCCGGCGCCCAGCTTCCAGCAGCGCGGGGCCCGCTGGGACCGCGAACCCCAAGACGCATGCGCAGACCCAGCGTGTTGGAACCGGGTGGGCCAGGGCTGACCCGGGCCTGCGGGCGCCCAGCACGCAGCTTTGCACGTCCTTGTAAGTGTCTTCATGTTACGGAAAGCGAAATGGACTTTTATGAGTAACAGAACTAATATTTGTTTCAATTAGAGAGAAAACGTTTTGCCCTGACAGGCAGGCAAAGGGCACAGCGCCGCTGTCCGTCTCTAATATCTATACATAAATGCTCTAATGTACGGTTGTCTCAGTGCCAACGTGGAATCCCATGCGCAGTGAGAGTCTCCAGAGGTTGAGTCGATACGATGAAGGTTAGGGGTGCCAGCTCCTTACCCCCTTTCACTCCTTGCTCTAAGTGGTTGAAAACAGCCGTAAGGAGCTCGATGGGGATCAGAAATTACATTAAAAAGTGGCAGCACGTGCTCTTCCGGGGTGAGCAGAGTCGGAGAAAGTGGCCGGACCTCAGGTTGAGCCGGGGGTCTCCTACCACCTCCCAGATCTGGACCTTCCATCCCCGCTGTGGGCAGCGTTGCGTCTGGATGGTCCAGTGCCTGGACGGTTACAGACCTGCCCCAGCCCGAGAAGGAGAGTCCACTGTGTGGTCTCCGCCTCAAGGGCGCCGGGCTCAGGCTTCCCACCGACATGGCACCGCCCGCCTGGAGCCCCGGTGCCCGTGAGGAGGGGTCGGAGCTTTCCTCCTAGTGTCTCTGCTGCTGGGAGGGGGGTGCTCTTTCCTCTCTACAGCCTCCTGCATGTCAATATTATCACGGTGTTAAATTTAAGAATAAAATCCTGCTATAGCGGGAGTGCTATAAATGAGTAGAATTAGATTTAATTTGCATATAGGTACAGATTATGAGCCAGAGGTGCTTCTCTACGAGGGAACCCTCCCCAGTGCAATACACTCTGTTCAGCCTGCGTTCTCGGAAATGAGGCTCCTTGTTTGTACCTGCGGCTCTGATCCGGATATATCTGGGCACCTGGGGGCCAGGATGAGGGCCTCCGCGGAGGAGGGAGAAGGCAGGGCTGTGAAGTGTCGGGTGGAGGATTGGGGGTGGCTTGGAGAGCTCCCTGCCCAGAAGGGGAGCAGAGAGTGAAGGCCCGAGGGGCTTCTACGAGTGTTGTCAGAATCAGACGCACAGACCTGCACCTGGGAGGGGGCCTGGGCATCCCTGGGTCTTGTGCCCCCTCACCCATCCTTCCCCTTCTGCTCTCCTGTGGTCGTGTCGTGGTCAGTGGAGGAGGGGTCTGTGCGCCTGTCTTAGGGGCAGTGACCGTGTGGGAGGGAGCAGCCTGTCTCCCGGGGTGGCAGACGTCTGAGGGTCCAGCAGGCAGAGGGGACGAGGGAGGAATGAAGCCACGTGTCCAGGAGTCCTGCCACCAAGTAGGAGACAGAGAGCCTGGCCCAATGGCCCGGCCCCTCCCCGCTCTGTCCTCCCCGGGGCGTCAGATGGACAGGACTCCAGCCAAGGCCTCGTGCTCTCTACACGCTGGACGCTGGCTTCCCGCCCGCCCTGGTCCGCGATCCGGAGGTTCCGTGCTGCTGGTGGCCCCACGAGGCAGCGCGAGTTTGGGTGCTCGGATCACATCCTGGGAAGCTCCCCTGTGCCCGGGGACCCCCGAAGGGGGGACTCAGAGCTCAGGACCCTCGACTGTGACACCTCAGGATTCTTCACATTTAACTCACTTGGAACATACACTTGTTAGTTCTCTGATCATCTGAATGATCATGATTTTCCTTTGCAAGAGTGACCAATGGCACTTTTGAGAAAAATATTTAGAAGTTTTATTTATTAAAATATTATGTATTGATTTATGTTTGATGCCTTCACATAATCACCATAACCTGGGACTGTGCTTCCAACATCAGGAAGAACTGGGTGATGAAATGAATAAATTCTGATGATGTGAAATACATGATATACAGCAGGACTGCCGTGTCCAGGGAAATGTACATAGATTTATATGAGTGTCTGCTGCTTTTTGGCATGTTTTACATTTTAAATTACTATACTTGTCAGTTAATTTAACAAATGATAGATATTTTACCTTTTTATCAATTTATAGGTATACATATATTTTGCAAAATGATTGGTCTTTTATAAAACTGTTTGTGCTTGTAAAAGATGCTGATAATGTATCCATGCAGTCGGGCCGAGACCGGGGGTTCCTCCACGGTGCTTCTCCAAGTCCTCAGGGCTGCACCCCCAGCCGAGGGGAGGCCTGGAGACTTCCAGGCTGCCCTGCAGACCTTCAAGGTGGGCAGACCTATGGAGAAATAGACATGCTTTCTTTTCAGTCATCAGTTTTGTGGCTGTGGATTTTGAAAGGCTTCAGTTTTCGGGCCAGGAGGCCATGTGCCAGGTCCTCAGCTGGGCGGTGCTGGTCCCTGCCGTGTCCTCTTGTCCTCTGGGTAAATGGCAGAGCCAGCTGAGAGCTGGGCTCTCCGGGTTCCCGGCCAAGGGCTCCCTCCAAAGCCCAGCAGTGCCCAAGGGCAACTGGACAGGATCAGACATCCTCCATCTTCCCTGCGGTGCTTTCTGAGGCCGAGGACAGTAGGCTGACAGCTTACAATCCACGTGATGCCCGGCGAGGATGCATGCGTGTCTGGTCTCCAGACTTCAGCTCATACCAACGAGTAAATATGTTTCTAACTGTATTGTTGCTGTGTTTTCTAGGAGCTGGAAAAGATAGGGACCTCTCCCCATCAGCTGAGTTGTGAAGGTCTTATCAGGAATCTGTCCAGCGCCTTGGAAAGCTTCAGGAGCAGCTTGGAAGATGCCAGCGAGCAGGGCTGTGAATGCCAGCCTGGACCAGCCTCCATGCTGCACACGCACATGTATGTGCCCTCTGGCGGGGCCCCCACCTCCTCAGTCTCCCTTCATGAAGACGATGCATTTTAAATTATGAGTTTCAGACAATAATGTGTACCATATACCATTAGCACATGTGTTTTCTCACCAACACCAAAATTTCCCCTGACTTTAACTTTTTAAATTGTAAACTGTAGGAGCAGCATTAGTGCTAAGGCTAGCTTTACTGGAGATCAAGAAGCTGGATCAACATGTCGAGATCTGAGATTACAATATGGTATTGGAATAGTTCTATAAGAGTAGTCAGCGATTTTTCAAATGACCTTCACACTGGATTCATTTTGTACTGTGTTCTCAAAAGTGTGAGCCCCCAGAAGAGGAAATTGGGGCCTTCGTGTTCTGCAAGTGACTTATTCACAGAAGGAATGATGTTCCTCTGACTTCTCGATACCCCGATTTCTCATACATGCCACGGTCTATCCTATCAGTTCCTTTCGCATTTGTGAGAAGCCGTTTGTTACCCATCCTTATTCCCCTGACTCATCTTGCCTGGCAGGCACCCGGTATTGACGGGTATTCACACACAGAGACATCGTGTGTCAGAATCTCTGAGGAATCTTATGGAAAGGCAATATTGTTCTCTAGTTCATTTCCTGGGAACTGAGGCAGCATATTCACTCCAGCACTGTTCCTGGTGTTTTATCTTACCTAAATTAGCTTTAATTTTCTGCTATTTTAGGTTGGCCCAAAGCCTCGAGAAGACTTTGTTGTCTGGGAATCCCATTATGACTTTTCTTCGCAATTTCACAGTAACTGGGGGTAAATATGTAGTTCCTCCAAGTTTGCTTGATTAAAAATTAAATTTAGTTTCTCACACAAATATATTATTAAAATAAAACTTATTAAGGTAGAGTTATGCTATCTATATATGATAAATACCAATTTAGAGCCTGGCAGGTCTGATGTATTTGGGGTTGGGAAGGAAACCCTAAAGTCCTGGGTACCAAAACCAAGATGGGGAGAGAGAAAAGCTTCTGTGGCCTGGGTGTCTCCCTGGCCCTCCCTCCCTGCACATCTGGGAGTCTCTGTTTCCCCGTCTGTCCAGTCTTGCTATTCCTGAAGCCCTTGCAGCATCAACAAGTCAAGTCTGAAGAATCCTGGCAAATCTCCTCTTGTTAGGAAAAGTGAGATGAATGGATACGTGGAGAGAAGTGCGTTTCCTTGGTCACTCTTCCCTCAGAAAAAACACCTCCTTTGAGAGTTGAGTGTCAAATGCACAGGTCTTAGAGGAAGCAAGGGAGTAGAAATACCCCATAACCTGGGGTTTTGTTTTACCTCCGGTAAAATGATCTCAGTTCCTCCCAGAAGTGTAAGAGATGACTTTATTTAGTGCTTATTATGGGCTGGATGTAGTGGAGGAAACGTCCTTGCCAGGTTTTTGTTTTTTTTTTTTGCGGTACGTGGGCCTCTCACCGTTGTGGCCTCTCCCGTTGCGGAGCACAGGCTCCAGATGCGCAGGCTCAGCGGCCACGGCTCACGGGCCCAGCCGCTCCGCGGCCTGTGGGATCTACCCGGACCGGGACACGAACCCGTATCCCCTGCATCGGCAGGTGGACTCTCAACCACTGCGCCACCAGGGAAGCCCCTCGCCAGGTTTTAATGTCAAATCTTGTCTTCACAGTCAGGAATAGCCCGAACGCCTATTATTGCAAGATTTCCTTCCTTCTGATTATTTTTCAGACGTAAAAGTAAGAGAGTCGGTGCAGAACACCACCACGTTAACTGAAGAGCTTCGATCTTCTCTCCACATCGCGGACGAAACTATCAGCAGTATTTTAGAAGCACACGTTTCCCACTCTGAGCTGCAGTTTGCTGCTTCTCCCGCCTCACAAGCCCTCGGCGTCCCGGAGCTGTCGGCCTCGTGTGGTCCCTTCTCCCCTCTCCCCCCGTGGCTGGGGGTTGAGTGGGAATGATGTAAAGAGGCAGACAGGAGATCAGAGAACAAGCTGGCCACCCAAGGGCGTTATCGTCCTCTGCCACCACCGTGGGGTCTTCAGTTTCATAGTGTTGTCTTCATTGGGGTTAGAAAGGATAAAATTGGTGATGATACTCATCCCACTGATTCCCAGACTGACGCACGACAGCCTGATTTCCTTTCAGTAGGGAGAGCCGGGTCCAGCCTGACTGCACCGTGGGAGCCGCTTAGCGTGACAGCAGCGAGCAGTCAGGCCGTGTCGTCCCCACGGTGGGTGAGGAACACTGATTAGGGCCCCAGAAATAAGGAGGTGGGGACGCGGGCTGTGGCGGTGGGCTGGGTTTGCCCGCGGAGGGAGGAGCCGGTGAATTCACCTGGATCCTCGGCAGGGACTTCGCTGAGATGACCTTTCAGCGCATCGCGTGGGGATTTACTTTCCTGTGCAGACAGCCTGCCAGAAGCACTAGCCACGAAGATGGCTCTCAAGTGACCATTTTTATTGACAATCGCCTGGGCCTCAACGGACATTTACTTTCACGTTGATTCCTGTTACCTGGGGCTAAACGCAAGCCCTGACAAGTAGATGAGTTACTCAAGAATTAACCTGCATTGAGAAAGAAACGGATGAGAAGCTAGGAACCCCAAATTCGAGTTACGGTCTCAAGTTGTCTGCGGTAAGTCACACGGGTCTTCAAAGAAAATGTCAGAGGCGGCTTATCGGACGGCACGCGTTGCGGTGTGCGGGGGTCAGGGTGGGGTGAGGACACCGCCTCGCCGGCTGCCTTAACTGTAAACAGTGGTCAGATCTGGTTTGAAATCTTTATTCAGGGAACTTGTGATGGGAATGGAGCAGTGAGTTGATTTCAGTAGCTGACCCACAGGGCTGTACGAGGAGCGTCAGGTTAGCTGACTTCCAGCCCTTGTAGATTCAGAATGTTACCATCTTCTCAGCCCGGTGGTTGCTGCCCGATTAGCAAGTGGCCACCGGGGGTCGCTGACGCTCCGTGGTGGGAGCGCTGGGCCTGGAGAAGGCTCGCGTTCTGAGGTGACTTTGCTGCAGGAGCGGCTGTGCGGTGCTTCCTGCGTGCACGTGTCTCTCACGATGTGAGTCGCTGCGGGCGGTCCCCTGAGTGGCTGGACGGTTTGGTCATTGGCGGGGGCGTTAAAAAAGCTTGCATTCTTGGCATTCAAATAAGTAACGAAGTTACTCGCTGGGGTAAAGTGTATCCATGAACCCACGTGTGTCTTAGGTTACAAATTCATGTTTGGTAGGTGACAGTTTGGGGCCTAGGTTTTTCTGCGTGGTGAGGTTGACAGCACATGTTATGTGTCACTACATATAACCTGTAGTGACCTTTCACTGTTTCTCTCTCTGGGCGCCTCCGCCTTACTTTCAGTCAGTGCTGAATCGATCACGTCAGAGCCTCAGCGTTCCCGGGGGGCACATTTCCTTGGCACGAGGTCCTGGGAAAATGGCAGGAGCTCGCACTCATTCACTCACTGCAAATCTCCCTTCCCGTTGTGTGAGCTTCCAGAAGCTGGAGCCCCCAGCCCCCGAAGGGAGCCGGTGCCTGCGGGCTGGCTCGCCAGATCAACAGACACGCATGGGCAGCGAAGTCCAGAAGCGCGTGTGCCGCGGAGTTTCAGCGTACGGTGTACAGCAGTGGGGCCACCGGGCCCAGGAGCCGCCCTGCAGACGGGGCTGGGGGCTCAGACGGACGTGATGAGAAGCCGCTGGCTGTGAAGAGCGACGGGAGAGTCGCAGGGTGGAGGCCTCGGGTCCAAGGGCCAGAGGCAGCAGGAAGGGAAGGGGCTGGGCCAGCTGTTCCGGGACGCGGTGCCCCTGGGAAGCTCCCCTCTGTCCGCGCTCCATCCTGAACCCTGGCAGCTCCCGTCAAAACCAAATCTCAGACTGCCGGACCCTGGAGCTCACCTCCCCCACTGCCATCCTGGACTGAATCCCCTCCACCCACCCTGGATGCACCCAAGCCTCGTAGGCTGCAGTGCCGGATCAACAGCGACTTCCTCCCTCTGTGTTCCAGGCCACATTTTTATTCTTTTAAAGGCAGCAGTGAGGTCGAAGAGTCAGGACCAAATAGACCGAGAAGGCGACCAGAGGGTCTGTCTCCCCCTATCCTGCACGACTGAGCGTGTTCGGAGGGCCTGGGAGACAGGCTCCCACCATCCTCAGCAGACTTGCCCACCCACCCTCCAGGTTCTTACAGACGGAGGTGTGGGAGGGATGCCCGAGAATGATGAGCTCTTCTGTGCGGCCCCCCCGGAGGGAGAAAGCATCCTGACACCTTGCCTTTCTTCCCTTGGGCAGGAACGAGTGCCTTTGGTGGATCTGGCCCAGCCTCTCTCAGTCGCTTGAAGTGGTTCCGTAAAGCATCAGGGACGCCTGGCTGGCACACGGTTTGGTGAGAGAGATGCCTTGCAGGGATTCGCCAGCACCTCCAATTCTGTTGGGTAAAAGCTGCAGTGGATGGTTGCTGGCGGGACTCATGTCAGAGTAGACACTAGTAAAAACTGGCTCATTCTGGCTTTTTCCCTCGGTGAGAGGGAAAGAAATAATCAGTGTGTGAGCAGAGCTAAGGGTTTCTGGCCCATGCCGAAGAACCTGGCCCCACGTGCCCTGGGAGGTACCGCCGGTCACTGGGAGCGTCAGATCCTGAGGGAGCTCGTCCTGGGCTCTGAGTCCTGCAGACCACCCTGCTCCCACACCATCCGGATGGGCGTCATGGTCCTTTTAACTTGGAGAACTTCAGACCCTCCACCACCAGCGGAAAAAAGTAAGTGGCTGTTTCTAATGGGGCCTCTGTTTTCCTACTTACACTTAGGTAAATATTTTTGAGCCTGAGTTTCAGGATTGAGTGCGCTGACCTCTACAAAGAGTACTTCTTACTGGTTCTGGCCAATTATTCTAACCTTAGAGGTATCTTTGATCCTGATCTACTTTGCAAAGTGTCACTTGTCTCTCAACTTGGCCAGTCACAAAGGAGACGAGCACGTCTTCTATGCTTCTATTCAAGTCATTAGTGCGGAAAGATGCCCACAGCCTGGGGATGCCCACACCTGTTTAATAGTTTGGGCTCTTAAATGAGCCATAGCACATCTGCGGTCCTGCTAACTCATTAGTCTGATAACTTTGCCTTCGAAAGAAAATGACTTTGTGTTGATCTGGCCCGTTTATGGCGACTCTCTCAACATGGTTTCGGCAACTGCCGTTTTCTTGAAGGGCTCATGGAGAACCCAGGATCAGAATTCACACGAGGAGTGACATTATCTGTGGGTAGTAGGACTGTTATCTTGTCTGAAGCCCTGGGAGGAGGGGGTTAGGGTCTGGTTTAGGAAGGAGGAGAGGGAGGGGAGGGCACTGGGGTTGGGACAGAAGGGCCAGCGGGCATCTCAGTGGGTGGGCACCCCATTACGCCGCCCACCCTGGGCCAGTTTGTGGGCTGGGTGCAGGGCGGGGGGGCGAGGGTAGGGCAGGGGTGCACGGTGCTGACCCACAGACTTCTCGGTGGAGTATGGAAAAAAGGAAGGAATTTACTAGCTTAACTCTCTCTCTGTCTCTTAAATTTAATACTTTTCAATCAACAAGCACATCTAATTTTTATTCATCTTTCTTCAGATTTCCTGTTAATCAAAACTCTGTTTGTGCCGGTAGCCTCCAGTCAGTGCTGGTGGATGTTCCTGGGCTGTGTGTCTTTCACAGTGATCTCCTCTGGTCCCCCTGGAGCACCTGTGGGTCTTATCGCCGCCTCTTCCGCACAGACGGGCAAGCTGACGCTTGCAGGTGCCACCAGCCGCTGGGCGGTCCCACGGCAGGAGCTGGAGTCGCCCTCCTCCTGGGCCCTGCCTGAGTCCTCCCTGCCTTCCTCCCACCGTGTGGGGCTGCAGCCCTTCCACATGGCCCTCAGAGCCGTCTCCTGCCCTCTGGGCTCATTCCCATCCAGGCCTCTTCATTGTGCGAGCCGATCCGAGCCCGCCGGGACACGGGCAGCAAGGCCCGGCTCCTGTCTGTCACGTGGAAGGTGGCTCTTAGTATCGATCCCACTTCTTTGCTTCGACAAGCCCTGGCCTGCCACAGTCACCTCCCCCGCTATTTCCAGTTCACCCCCGTCACTGTTGGTGTTTCTTTTCTGGTCATAATTAGGTTGAGAGCAGCGATCGCTTCCAAAGCTTCTCTGCACCTCTGAGTCTAAAATTGTCAGCTGGGCAAAATGGGGACCATCTCTGGGATGCTGCTCTGAGCACAGTAAGGGTTTTGGCAGACGCTCAGTAAACAAGCTCCTGCTAACAATGCAAATGCTTTGCCTAGGGATCACTTTCACTTTTACAGGGAGTCTGTGATCTCAATTATGAAATTGTCTGAGTGTGTGTGTGCGCATGTGTGCTGGGGTCACAGTGGTGGGGAGCTGCCTGCCCTAGATCCCTGGCGCCTTGAAGTTTTCCAAGCCGGACATGGACGTGTCGGAAAGGCACCAGCAGCACGGCATCCGTGTGTCTGATAACTGACTGGACCAGCCTAAGCGAAGCCTGAGCTGAAAGATGCCTGCCTGACTTTAAAACAGATTCACCCGTGATATTTCCAGCCCAACAAAACTGAGTATTATCTCTGTTTTTCTTATTCCCCGCCTGCTTCAGGTGCCTTTCAAACAGGGAAAATGGTCATAGTAGGATTAAATAAAGATAAAGAGTAAAGTAGAGAAGCACAGAGAAGGTGTGGAAGCAAACACGCTGCAAGGCACTGCTCTTGCGCATGGCGTGACTGTGGGGTTTCTGCGCGATGGCACCCGGGACCTCCCTGTTGGTTGAAAAGAGGTGTACACAAGTTTTAAGAAAATGTTTGCCTTGGGGCTAAATTCTAAGAGATGCATGGAACGTGATCCTGCTTGGGGACCACGGGTGATGCTGAGATGGTGGCTAAGGCCAGGGTTCCATTGCAGGTGCAGAGGGACCCTCACCAGTCAGTTCTGGTGCCCACACGAGACCAGGAGCAATGATCCCAATTTAAGGAAAACTTCCACAGAAGCCCGTTTTACAGAACTGATCAAAGAGGGGCCTCCCAAATCAAAGCAAAGGGTGGATGTGCATACCCCCCCCCCACTCCTGCTTCCTCTTTGAAACCCTCTCTCAACCAAAGGCATCCATCTTCCCTTAGAGACCACGATGGAAACAGTGGAATAAGGAAATCTTTCCCAAGGTACGTCTGTACCACATAAGTCCCCTGTGGAAAAAGGGGTTTTGGTTAATTACGTGTGAAAACAATTAACATCTCTCTCAGAGATTCAAAATGTACGTCAGCATATTAGATTACCTAACCATTTGTGATGGTTAATTTGTATGTCTATATGTGTGGGCCGTGGTACCCAGACATTTGGTCTAATGCCAATCCGAATATCCCTGTGAAGTTATTTTTTAGATGAGATTCACATTGAAATCAGCAGACTTTGAGCAGATTACTCTCTGTGATGTGGGTGGGCCTCGTCCAATCAGTTGAAGGACTGAGGTGACCCCAGGGTGAGGGAATTCCTCCTTCAGACGGCTGCTGGGGCTAAGCTGCCACGTCAGCCCCGGGCCTCCCAATGCCGGCCGACCCTGCAGAGTTTGTTCTCGCCAAGCCCCACGATTGAGTGAGCCAGTTCCTTTAAAAAATCTCCCAGAATGTGCACATCCTATTGGTTCTCTTTCTCTGGAGAACCCCCATTAATCCCTTCTGCTATTTCTTAATGATTCTGGGGGCATCTTATGGCATTGTATGAAAGCATCTGATGAGTTCTCCCTGTTGACAAGGCTCCTGATAAGGGAACAGTAACTTCTGTTCACAGAAGGTCTTGCTTGGTCCGAACAATTTCGCAGTAATCACACCCATCAGAGTATAAACACAACAGGAAGTCTGTTTTTTTTTTCCTTTTTTATATTCTGCTTTATAATTTTTCTTATTACAAAGATGGTTAATCAAAAGTCATTGCTAGGCAGAGACGCAGCCCTGGCCCTTTCACGGAGGGAACAGTGATGCACCAGACACTAGCACAGCTGTCCTCAGCCCCTCCTTTTCACTTGGTTTGCTTTTTCTTTTCAAAAATGATAACAGGCTTGGAAATCTGGTTTTCAATTTTGGAGATGGAGGAGAAAAAAATAGTTCACACTGATGCCAATGAAAAATGAAAACTGATAATCTGAGAGCAAAGGCTAAGACTTAATGTCAGGAGGGAGAGGGTCTTCTCCTGAGAGCATTGCGGGTGGAGGGCGGACGCTAGTTCTGAGCGGCTCCAAGGCCATCATAGAGGGTAGGCTGCTTACAGGGTCAGGGAATGACGTGCACATTTTAGAAACCTTTCCATTCAAAGTGTTTGAAATGGAACAGAGGTTTGGGATCCATGAAACTTCAGGTGAATCCTCAGCGTTTTGGGAAAACAGGTCTTCAAGGGGCTCGTCATTAGGGGAGCTCTGAGTCTGGGGGCCACACAACTCAGCTGTAGTCACGTCCGACCCTCGTGCTTTGACACAGGTTCTCTCCAGTGCCCCGACGGTGGCTTTGTCTCGAAGGCGCAATGGGGACATTCTTTGTCTGCTGCTCAAGTTCCCTGAGGATGGAAAGTCTGGGTCTGCAGCGAGGGAGCTGTGCCACCTGCCCGGGGCCCAAGTGTTTTCCCTGACTGTGCTGATGGGTTGGAACCTGGACCTGCGGAATTTCGTATACAAAGTAACGGGAAGACGGCCGCGGGCCGGGGTCGGCCAGCGGGGCCCGTGGGGATGAGTTGGGGGCAGCAGGGCAGGCGCAGACCCCGCAGCCTCGGGGTGGGGCTCGGAATCGAGGGGTGTCCGGGAGACTTTCCAGGGTCCTTGGAGTCAATGTGCTCAACGGGGAAGGACCAGTGATCAAAGTCCCCACCGGAGCCCAGCACCAGGTTCCCTCCTCTTTGACCAGCACTTGACTGGAGTTTACCTGGGAGGCTGGCTTCTGCTGTGGCCCCCGCCCCAACTCCCTGGCGGCCCCTCTGAGTCAGAGCTACTCCCCCGCCTTGGCCGTGGCCGCCTCTGCCCCCTGTCATGTCCTGGGGCCCGCGAGCTCTGTCCCGAGAGGGGACGTGCTCACCTTTGCCGGGGCCTGTCCGGGAGAGGGATGCAGGTGGCGGGGGACATGGGGCAGCCCCTCCCTGGGTGAGCCAGCTGTTCCCTGCCCTCCACATGCCCACACGCATGTGGGTGTGCGGGAAGGGGCTGAAGTGGCTGCGGGGACAGCTGCCCCGAGGGCAGGCCCAGTTACCTTCTGCAGACAGGAGTTGTGCCCTGGGCTGCACACCGGCTCGCGGCCCTGTCTCTGCCTCTTCTTGAAGTCCCTCATCTTCCAGCCTCCACTGTTGGAATCGTTACCTGTGTCTCCAGACCCTTCACCTTTGACCCTTAGGGACTTTCTTGCTCCAGGTTTCTCCCCAGGGATGGATTTGCCAACACCTGGGCTCATCAGTGACGGCTTTGGTGCCCCACATCCGGAAGGACAGTTTGGGGCCTCAGGAAAAGGGTAGATCTGCCCTTCCAGCCCAGTGTCCTTCATGGTCTCCCCCTCCTCAATAACTTCAGGAATCCGGTGGGTGATATACACGCTGAGAACAGAGATTAATTTTCAGAATGAGAATTAATTCTGAAAATTTCAGAATTTTCATTTCCAACCCATAAGCAGGAGGATGGACGTTTCCTAAACGTCCCCATGCTCTGCAAGGCCACGTGCCTCGCGGTGGGATCCGTGCCTGCGGCTCACACGTAGGCCGGTGAGTCCTGCATCCACTCCCACGGCCACTCTTCTGCTTCACCGCGGGCACCCCTGGCGGCCAGTTCTGTTAGGTCCACAGAAGCCACCGACTTGAGGCTGGTGCTTCTCAGGCCCCGATAATGACTTTGACAAAGGGCCGAAAGGATGAGACACTGGGTTGGAGTTGGTCTCCCACACACAATGGAATCGACTCCTCCGTTAATAACACCAGCTCCTCCTACCCGCGCAGCTCCAGGGAAGCTGATGGGTACGCGGTGTTGCTCAGAGGTGTCAGCCGTCAAGACACACTCGGGGAGCCACGCCAGCGCGGGGGCCCAGCAGGCCGGGCTCACTCCCAGCTTCCCTCGGCTGATAGTGAACTTGTGACGCCTTTCACAAAGCACAATGTCCAGCGCGTTCCTCTGGCCGTCAGTGCCGGGGCTCCATGCAGGTCAGTCCCATCGGTCGGTGCCCCGAGGGCCACTTCTGATGTGCAGCTGCAGTTAGAAAGGCGAGTGGGAAAACGATAGGAGCCTGCACCCCTGGCTCCTGCCGAGGAGGCTGCTGCCTTAACTGACGACACGGGCACATGATTGTGTGCAGAGAGAGTGAGAGACGGAGCAGGGGTCTCAGTCCTGCAGGTCAAGGGCAGAGCCAGCAGCTGAGGGGCAGGTGCAGAACCCTAAGGGCCCAAGTTTGAAAACCTGGACATTCAGAATGCAGATGAAAGCAGGGGGGAGGGTGGCTGTGAGTCCTACCCCTCTGTGGGAAGGGGCAGTGTGTGCTAATTTACCCATTCATCCAGTACGTATTTCCTAAGCAGCTATAATAGTATTTTTTGGAAATGTTTATTGATTTTTTTGTTATATTATTACTCTTTTTTAATAGGTCTTTATTGGAGTATAATTGCTTTACAAAGTTGTTAGTTTCTGCTGTATAACAAAGTGAATCAGCTATACATATGCATATATCCCCATGCCTCCTCCTTCTTGCGTCTCCCTCCCACCCTCCCTATCCCACCCCTCTAGGTGGTCACAAAGCACCGAGCTGATCTCCCTGTGCTATGCGGCTGCTTCCCGCTAGCTGTCTGTTTTCCATTTGGTAGTGTATATATGTCCATGCCACTCTCTCACTTCGTCCCAGCTTCCCCTTCCCCTACCCCGGGGCCTCAAGTCCATTCTCTACATCTGCGTCTTTATTCCTGCCCTGCAACTAGGTTCATCAGAACCATATATATATTTTTTAGACTCCATATATATGTGTTAGCATACGGTATTTGTTTTTCTCTTTCTGACTTACTTCACTCTGTATGACAGACTCTAGGTCCATGCACCTCACTACAAATAACTCAATTTTGTTTCTTTTTATGGCTGAGTAATACTCCACTGTATATATGTGCCACATCTTCTTTATCCATTCATCTGTCGATGGACATTTGGGTTGGTTCCATGTCCTGGCTATTGTAAATAGTGCTGCAGTGAACATTGTGGTGCATGTGTCTTTTTGAATTATGGTTTTCTCTGGGTATATGCCCAGGAGTGGGATTGCTGGGTCATATGGTAGTTCTGTTTTTAGTTTTTTAAGGAACCTCCATACTGTTCTCTGTAGTAGTTATATCAATTTACATTCCCACCAACGGTGTAGGAGGGTTCCCTTTGGAAATGTTTATTAATTGATTGACATTTTCTCATAACAGAATCTTTTCTTTAATTTTTTAGTCTTTTAAATTGAAGTATAGTTGATTTATAATATTGTGTTAGTTTCAGGTGTACAGCAAAGTTATTCACTTACACATCCATACATATCTATTTTTTCAGATTCTTTCACCTTACAGGTTATAACAAAATATTGAGTAGAGCTCCCTGTGCTAAGCAACCAGTATTGCCAGAGGCCGTTCTCGCAGCTGTGGCCACATCAATGACCATGACAGGCAAAAATCCCTGCCTGTCCCCGGACAGAGAGGATGCAGTGAATAAGTAAAACACAGAGTGTGTCAGTGGTGACAGCACAGGTGGGTCCCAGCATCCGGAGCCACTGATGCTTCTAAAGCACCCAGGGTGCATTCCTGGCCCTAATCTTCCAGCTGGTGATGGTGCGGGAAGCCTTTGAAGCTCTCTGAGCTCAGTTCCTTCATCCACAAAATTAGCGCTGGCACACAGCCCACAGGGGTTCGGAGGACGGGAGGATGTGTGCGCTGTGACACAGGGAAGCTGTAGGTAGATGGAAACTGTTTCACACATAGGAATCAATTTATTGTGACCCTCTTCTTAAATAGCCACTCCGCGCACCTCAAAGACAGAAAAGAATTGTTTGAAAGTGATTTGACTTTTAACAGCCAGTCATATCTGCTCCTGGCATGTTCTGACGATACCAGTACGGTTGAGCGTGCTCCCAGAACGGAGCCAGTAGAGAGGGCTTTATACGGCACAGCAGAGGTGTCTCCCAGGCTCAAGAGAATAAAATCAAGTAACGCTCTTCATTTTCTGCCCCGCTCCAGCGATGCTTGTGAGGCACCATGTCCAGCACTGGTTAGGTCGTGTTGTGTTTCCCTTGGAGACTCTGCTCCCTGCGCAAGCCAGCGGCCCGCTCAGCTCCCTGCTGGACGTCGGGTCCAGCCTCGGCCACCTGCTCCCCGGTGACAAAGCACAGGGACGAGGGTACCTCTTAGTGGTTCTGGAGGCAGCAGCCTGACGAGGAGCAAGGCCTGGGGTCCCCTGCAGAGCCAGAGGAAGTGGGACGCACAAGCACCCACGTGGAGGTGGCAGTTCAGGCGTTCTCTGTGATGTCAGAAGTCACTGGATGGATTACCCTCACAGAGGAGATTCCAGGGGCCTGTTTAACTGAACTCAGAGAGTACCTCGCTTTCAGAAACCTTAATACGTTTATTTGCACACAAGTAATTGGCTTGCAGATTACAGATCGTTTGCTGCGAATACAAACGCGAAGTTGAATGAGGTCAGTAGCCAGATGTTCGTTGTGCCTGGACTGTCTCTGCCTGGAATGGAGTTGGTGGGGAAGGGGGTTGTGTGTGGGGCCTGTGAAGGGTGAGGCGCAGGGTGAGGGGCGGATGGTGCATCCTCGGACCTGCCTCGAACTCGGGACACGGGGTGTTCATTCAGCTGAGGGGTGAGTTGAGAGCCCTCGGGTATCTGGGAAATTTAGCTGTAGATATTCATACTATTAATTAGTCTGAGTTAGTGGTACTTTATGGATTAATGATTTATCACTGGACAGACAGCAGAGATTTGCTGGTGTGTGTGTGTGTGAGTGTGAGACATTTGTCTCTTCAACCGTATAGACCAGAAAAATCACTGCTGTGATTTGCATAGCATTTCAAGGACAGAAGGACTACCGCTGAAATTTCATACTTTCGACGTGGTGACAATCTTATATAATCAGTTGGAGGAGGGACCGAAGTTTCAGGAGCCTGGGAGGGAATCCCTCTAAGTCACTCTTTGCCTGTGGTTTATTTTTCTTATGTTCTCAGGCTTCAGCCTTTGGTCCTTTCCAGTCTGTGATGAAGGTGGTTTGCAAGGACCAAGCCTCTTTCTTTAGGAACTCTGACATCTTTCTTCACTTGCCTAGAGTTAATGAATTCTTAGGAGACGACAAGGAAAAATTCAACATTCCTGAAGATTCAAGTAAGAAAACTGTAATCCATATTTGTTTAGATTAATTTGCATTTTGATAATTAGCCCTGCTTTGTACAAGATAGTCTGTCTGTGTAGAAAGTGGGTACATATGAGCAAAGAATTTCCTACCTGCACCCTCTAACCTGTATCCTTCGTTTTCTGTAAGGTCAGCAAATGCTGGCGTCGCAGTTGGATTTGAAAGACCCCTGCACCCTTGAGCACGGGCTAATTCTCTCACCCGTGACGCCGAGGAACTGGGTCTTAAATTCCAGTGCACCTGAAGCCCCAGCCTTTTTGGGACCCCTGGGTAGCCAGTAACAGTGAGAGGTCTGGGCCCGGAGACCAGGGGCAGCATTTTGGTTCTTGCAGAATGGCTGTCTCACAGCCAGGAGAGCCATACGTGGTCCCCTACAGATTTTCCTTCTATATAATGCTCCCTAGCAAATAACAGCAGACTTAAAGGTGATGCCCTGGCCCCACTGTAAGTTGGTGCATTTTGATTAGGAAGAGAGACGAAACGCACAGCTAAGGGTTTGGGTTTAGACTGCTCAGCCCCACCGACAAGTTGTGTGTCTTCGGTCCTGTGACATCACGTCCGTGAATCATGTTCATCTCATGTATGACATGGAAACATAGTGCCTGCCTTGTAAGGTTGTTGTGAGGGGTGATGGGGGTGATGTCTACCGACTGTTGAGGACGGTGGTGCGGTTGTGTCCTAGTGTATTTATCACTGTTCTGCACTGTGCGGCGAGTCAGTGGTGTGACACACACTTATCATCTCATGGTCTCTGAAGGTCACGGTCTGAGCACTGATTAGCTGGGTCCTCTCTCGGGATTGCAGGAGGCTGAAGTGAAGGTGATGGCCGGGGCTGGGGTCTCACTGGAGGTAGTTGTTGGTAGAATTCAGTTCCTTGCAGCTGCAGAACCCCAGGAGGCTGCGTCTTCAAGGACAGCAGAGTATCTCTTTGATTCTGAGGTTTCTGGTCTCTTAAAGGGTTTAGCTGATGGCTCAACCAGGATAACCTCCACTTCGATCAACTCCAAGTCGGAATCCCCGCGCCGTGGCCGTGTAACCTAACCAGGGGTGTGGCGTCTAACATATCTACGGGTTCTATCTGCAGGACAAGGCTACGAGGCTGTCTTAGACTTCTGCCTGCTGTACCCAAGACGCCTCTTTATATACCTGTGCCTGGGATGGACAGACGTGTTGGTGGGACCAGGGAGGAGAGGGGAATTATGTAGAGATGGGGCTGCAGGGTGTCCTCAGAGCTGCCCTAGAGACAGTGTGTTGGTGATCAGCTGATGGATAATTTGGAGAGCTGTTGAACAAAATATAATGTGGCAGTATAGGTACACATTAAGGCTATTCATATGGAATACTTTTGTTGTCTTCTTTCCTAATCCTTATTTCCTCTCTTCTTCTTGCATATGGGTTTTTTGAGGATTATTAATTTGTTCATCAAATCCAATCATCCAGTTATCCATCCATCCTGCATCCATCCATCCATCCATCTATTCATCCCTCTGTCTTTCCATCCATCCTGCATCCATCCATCCATCCACCCGCCTATCCATCCTTCTATCTTTCCATCCATTGCTCCATCCATCCATCTGGTTGTTCAGCTAACACTGAGGACCAGTTTTTCTTTGTCCTTTCATACATTTATTTCAAATGACGGTCACACGAACCATAGACAATATTAGTACCCTCATTTTTCAGGTGACACGAGAGAAGCTCAGAGAAGGTTAAGTGACTTGACCAAGTTCACAAGTGGCAGATGTTGGGATTCCTGCTTTCATATTTCTTGTTCTGTTCATATGTATGATTGTCTTTTCCAAAGTAAAAATTGCTACCGTTTAGCAGTATGAGTGCCAACATGAGGAATTGATGTTTAGGTGAAAACAAGGTGATTTAATGTAACAAAAGCAGTCAGTGCAATAGTTCTGTATAGGTGCAGCAAAGGAAATTCTGTAGCAATTTATAAAGCTAATTTTTTAAGAAAAACCTAATTCTAGTCTCAATACAGTGACTGTTGAAAAGAAGATTTTCTAGATTAAAACCAGATGCATTCCTTTTGCATTACTGTTTTAATTTTTAGGTGTCTTTGTCATTATTTAGTACTCTTACCGATGACTTAGTTTAAAAATGTGAAGGTCATACTTTCCTCTCTTTCAAATTCTTGAAGGGGACATGGTGTCTCAGAGTTTTGAGACAAGAGCTGCTAAAGACAAGGACAAGAAAAATTATTTCTGAACTTACTGCCCCAAATCAGAATTGAGTCATGAAAAAAATATATAAGCCACTCATTGGAAATTGAGGCGTCATGGCTCTGTACGTGAATGTCCTTGTTATCCTGGACATCCCCAATCATGAGCAACACTTTTTTTTTTTTTTTAAATTGTGACAGCACCCTTTTGCTTGAAGCTTTATCAGGAAATACTACAGTCTCCAAATGGTGCTTTGGTATGGTCCTTCCTAAAACCTGCATTACATGGAATAATACCGTACACACCAAACACTCCAGAGATTAATAAGGTCATTAGAAAGGTGAGTTTGAACGAATGAGGATGTTACAGACCATACAAGCAGTACAGTGGGAAGCAGTCTGTTAAAATATTTAATTGTTGTATAGCTTGGATTACACACAGTTTTCTTATGCTGATTACAATTTATTTTCCCCTGGGTATTTTTTTCCTGTCGTTCTCTCAGAGGACATTTTGGGGGCAGGAGGTATTATTTGGAGTAACTAATGCAGGCAGGACACTTAGACAAAGGAGGCCGGTTCAGGTGGTCCCAGGAAGATGTGGAGAACAGATGCGCATCTGTTTTGCTTGGTGCATCTGGTGGTGAAGGAGGAGTCTGACCCAGTGTTCGTGGCCTGGGTCTGGTAGTGACATTTCCCAAGTCGGCGGCGAGGCTTTGTCGGCCTCATCTGTGGCGGGTGAGCCCAGGTGAAGAAGCCAAAGAGCTTCCCTGGAGGCGTCTGGACATCGCACAGCTCTGCGTGTTTTCCTTTCCTTATGTTTCTTACCTTCTCAAACCCGTTAGCTTCAGGATTTATCATTGTTCATATTTGCACTTTCTTTTGACATGGTGGTGCTCTGTCTTCCCAGGGTCTTCTCTCCTTGTCTGACGGTGGCTTATGAGCCTGCAGGCACCTTTGAGGGACTTCAGGAGGCCATGGGGTCTGTCAAAACCAGAGGAGGAGACATCAAGCCCTATTAATGCTAAACTTCCGAGCTTCAAATAGTACTAATAACTTAAAAGCTAAAAAGTTGGCGATGGGGTGTGGTCATCCGAGCAGTTGGGTTATTTTTGTCAAAGTAGATTTTACAGATTCACGTTTCCTGCCCTCGTGGTTGCCACGTGGCCTCTTGCTTCCTGCCTGGGGCTTAGCTCAGGGGCTGTATTTGCCTCAGTTTATTCTGAATGCGCTTAATAACGTCTGCTTTATCTTGGGACTGTCCATTTGGACTGGGCTGTCACAGTGAGATGACATTAATCTAGACGTATGTCAGGAGCTATTCCTTCCAGGGCTGGGCTTCCGAGGGTCCTGGAGCCAAAGCCAGTGTCGTTCCGATGATCTCCCTGCGTTAAGCTTGCAAGGGCTGTGGGAAGTTCAGAAATTTCGCAGAAAATGGCTCTGTAGCACAGCTTTATTTTAAATTCAAATTAAAAAATGGGCCATGACTTTATTATTATTACATTATGTATTATTACACAAAGATATTATTGATGATATATAAAATGTACTGTAGGATTATATACCGTGCTATATTCTGTGATACAACAGTTAGTATGACAGTCTTGCTTTTGAGGAGCTCACCCTGCGGTGGGGAAAGAGAAGACAAACATCTGAAGAAATAATTCAGAACTAACGTGATCAGAGATTCGCTCAGTGTGGCACAGGGCACAGGAGGTGAGCTTCCAGCCCCCCTGGAAAGGAGGGTTTAGAAAAGCCTTCCGAGGGAGGGCATGTGCAGGCCTCCATGGGGGCGGGAGGAGGGGGCTTGGCCACGACAGGGATGTGGCAGTGGGTGTGCCCCGTGCGTTCTGAGAATGACGGAAGTTTTGGAAGAACAAGCAGACATTTCCCTGGCTCTTGCTTGGTCCCCCGTACACGTCATAGGCAGTGCTGTGCGCTGGTGCCTTTTGCACGCATTCGCTGTGGCTGACGACTTTGCATGAAGGTGTCCTGGTTTGTACGTATAAAGCTAAACTTCGTGGTGCTGGAGCCAGGCGGAATGATTCTATTTAACTTTGTGGAAACCGGTTCTGCTCATTGGACTCCCGGTCCAACGTTCCACGTGGCTGGGAGAGCCTAGAAGCTCTGCCAGCTTACGGTGTGTGAAGCACATCACCTGTCAGGGTGGAAGGGCCTGTCTTGCATGTCATCTGCTACTTGGTCTTACTCTCCCCATTACTTCCCATTAGGTGGAACACGTGAAGTTGCCATTTTTTCGTGGGAAAAAAATGTATAAAATTGGTCATCTCCTCTGGTTGGACCTGTAACTCTGAGGGTAAAGCCCCAAGCAGCACGATGTCGTGAAGAGAAACACGTGTGCACGGGGCTAGGCCGGGGGTGCCCCCGCACCTGTGACCTGTCCCTTGTCACCGTCCCTCTCAATAAGCCTTCTCCTCCCAGTAACACGGAGGCCGGAGGGAGAGCCCCGGTTTCTGGGAGCCACGAGCGTGGTCCGAACCTTCTCCTCCGCCAGCGCTGTTTCCGGAAAGGCGTTGCCCCCAGGGCGGTGGGGAGCGAAGGTCACCTCTGGAAGCAGGAGCGGCCGGGAGAGCAGCTGCTCTCAGGGCCGGGGGGGTGGCAGCTTTGCCCGCAGAGCGCCTGCCGCAGCGTCCGGCGACGCTCCTGTCCCCGCCCACAGCCGGGGCTCACTGCCGGCATCTGGGGTGGAGCCCGGGGAAGCCGCCGGCTGCCCCACGGGCGCGGGGTGGTCCTCAGCGGGGAAGGTCGGCGTGCTGAGGCTGAGGGACGCCGGAACGAAAGGGCTTGTCGGGCTGGGTGGGGCCCCGGGGAGCAGACAGACAGAGCAGGGGCGGCCGGGCCGGGGGGTGCTGGGCTGGCGCGCGCCGGCTGCGCCCTCCCGGGGGCCGTGCTGCGTCGGGGCTGGGGGCCGGCGGGCGGCCTAGGGCAGAGGGGCCTCGGCCTCACTCTGGTGTGTGCCTGGAGGAGGGGCGGCCGCTGGTCCCGAGCCCACGGGTGGCCCAAGCGCAGGGCTCAGGCGGGAGGGGGAGACGGGGGGCGGGAGCCAGGCCTCCCCTGAGGACCTGCTGTGGCCGGGCAAGGCCGGGCAGCCGGCTGCAGGGGAGGCAGGGGCCGCTCCCGCGGGTGAGGCCGGCGGCCCCCTCGGCTGCCAGACAGGGGCCCTGTCTGTCTGGCACATTCATGAAATGAAAAATACGCAGCTTCCAAAAAAGACTGATCTAGATATAGACTGGCCTCCAGGACTTACTGTTAACTGTATTTCAGGGCGGTGGGGAGGAGCGTGGGGTGTCCCAGTGACGAAAAGCGGGTCACACGCGTGGGCACCTGTGCTCCTAAGTGTACAGACAGCTTCAGGACGACGTCCAGGGAGCTGCTGGCAGCGCTTCCTCTGCGTTTGGAACGTGGTTCCTGGGGCGCAGAGTGGAAAGGGGGTCGAGCTTTTCACGAAGCCCTTTGAACACTCGGAATCGGCTAGAAGCAGCAAGATATGCACGTCTGACAGCGTCCCGGGAAGTCTTTCCATCTTGCTGTCTTGTGTGGCGGTGGATTGGCGTGTCAGCGGGGAGGAGGCAGAGCGCCGCGTGTGCTTTGTCGTCCTGAAGATGCGGCCAGGCCGCTCCACCGAGATGCCCAGTCCAGCCGGCCCTCTGTTCTGGGGAAAGTCAGGCCCAGGTCCCTTTGTTTCTGGGGCCCCAGGGCGACCTTCCTCTCTTTTCCCAATCCTGCCGAGATGCGGAGGGAGGACCCCTTTAGAGAGAAATGGGCTGTGGGGAAGGGGCTCTTCCCTCCCGGGTTCTGCCCTTCCTGATTCTGGCCAGGTCAGAAAAAAATCCTTTCTTTTATTTAAATCTTCAGATTCCTCTGTCTCATTCCCCTAGCAATAAGCAAATGGTCTGAATGCTGAGGAGGGTGATATAAATAAGAAAATGATGAATACAACAGAAAAAATAAACCCATAGCTAAGATCTTATGCTCTGACCCAGTCACCTTCTACTTTCTTTTTTTTTTTTTAAACAAAAATGAGCTGTAAGGAAAAGAGGCTTAGGGCATTTTCTAAAATCAGCAGTTATTAGGTGGTATGTAGGTGAAAACAGAGCCCAAGTAGTTTCTCCCAGTGATATAAAAGTGAAGACAAGACTTGAGGTTGTGGCATCTCTGAGATTTGTGCCCCAGTTCTGGGCGGGGCTCCGAGCTCCGTGCGCGTTGTCTCCCTATAATCTTATGAAGGTTTTTCTCAAGTTCTTGATTCTGTAAATTTTTGTATTTCACCAGTTTGGGGAAGTTTTCAGCTGTTACTTATTCTAATAGCCTTTCAGCCCTACTCTGTTTCTCCTGTCTTTCTGGGACTCAAAAGTTATGAACGTGGACTCCTAGTATTGTCCTGCAGGTCCCTGAAGCTCTGGTTACTTTGTCGTCTGTTTTTCCTCTTGCTCGGATTGGGTGAAGTGTAGTGACCTGTCCTCAAGTTCACTGGTTCTGACCTCTGTCATTTCTACTTGAGACCATCCAGCAAGTTTAAAACACTTTCTGTTATGGCATTTTTCAGTTCTGTATTACCCTGTGCTTAGCTGTCTTTTTAATAACTTGTATTTCTTTGTTGAACTTTTCTGCTACTTAATTTGTTTCAAGACAGTTTTTAATTGCTTGTTGAAGTATTTCTATGATGACGGCTTTAAAATACTTGCCAGATCATTCCAACATCAGATTTATCTCGCTATTGACATCAGTTGATTCTTGTGAGTTCTCTGGTTCTTTGTATGGTGGGTGATGTTCAGTTGTATTGTGGGCATGTTGGCTGTAAGAAAACCTTTCATTTTTGCAGACAGTCTCCTGTTCAGGTTTAACAGGTCTCAGCGTCCTTTGTGGGCTGTGGTTCCAAGGACAGTTTAATCATCACAGGCTTAGTGCTGTTATTTTGATCTGCTTGGTTCCTCTGGTGCCGCTGAAGCTTCCACGGGTTCCCGGTGCTGCCGCCTGAGGGGCAGAGGGGTTTCTCCAGGAAGTTTGTGCCTCTTAATCCCCTTCACCTGTTTCACTGGAGACTACCAGTTTGTTCTCTGAATCTATGAGTCTGTTTCAGTTCTGTTATGGTGGTTCATTTGTTTAATTTTTTAGATTCCACATATAAGCAATACCATATGGTATTTGTCTTTCTCTGTCTGACTTATTTCACTTAGTATGACAATCTCTAGGTCCATCCATGTTGCTGCAAATGGCAAGATTTCGTTCTTTTTTTATGGCTGAGTAATTTTCCACTGTATGTATGTACCACATCTTCTTTATCCATTCATCTGTCAATGGACACTTAGGTTGCTTCCATGTCCTGGCTATTGTAAATAGTGCTGCAATGAACATTGGGGTGCATGTGTCTTTTCAAAGCAGTGTTTAAGTAACTTGGCTAAGACCACCAAGCGAATAACCCGGAATGGGGAGGCCTTGTTCACCACTTCATTTTTAAGTGCTCTCGGTGTGATCTTTCAGAGGCTCAGTGTGGTGCATATATTCATGTTGTCTACTGTTCAGTTCTTACAAAATTCTGCTTTATTTCTAGTCATATTTACTTTGTATCTTTTAATGATGTGTTACTGTGTGTAGAAATATTAGTCACTGTAAATTCTGAATTTATTTCAGAATAAAATGATCGTTATTCCATTTATCCTTTTTGCAATGAATTTGATTTTTTTACTGTTAACATTTCTAGTTTTTATGTTTTTGCTTGATTTTTGAGATCTTTTGTTTTTGATTCAGTATAGAAATACAGTTGGCTTTGATAGTTTTGTCTCTGCCATATAACATAATCTTAATTAAGAAGAGCGTTTTATTTTGTTCATAGCTATAATTTTAGCACCTACACTTATGCCTGGCTGAAAAACCTTTGGTAAATATTTATTGAGTAACTTGACGGGATGGGTCTGAAAATCTTAGCCTTTGAATTATGATATTTTAACCTACTTGAAGTTCTTTTCATAACTCTGATAAGTTTAGAGCTATTTTGTCATCCTCCTCTATAGTTTTGAAATGTATACCTGTCCTGGTGATTACCGTTTTTCCTCTCTTTTGCCAGAAGAATTTGTTCTGTAGGGTCTCTTTTCCTCCTTTGTTTTCTGTCTTCTGTTTTTTAACGTCATGTCTGTCCTCTTCCCAGTTATCAATGCCCAGACTCACTTCTTTCTTACGTGAGAACCTTTGCTGTCACTCCATCCTCTCCTCCCGCACCATGGCTATCTTGTATTGATAGAGTCTGAAACCAGTCAGACACGTTAACAATCATCAGAGTGAGCAGCTGGTGTTTATAATTTTACTGTAACTTTTCTATTATAAGTTTTTTCTTTCAAGAATTATTATTGGCATCTGGATTCAATTCAGAACCTTGCTCACCATTATTTAAAATTAATTCTCTATTTGAGTGGTTTCATGGCTCATCATTTCAGTGTTCTCATATTGATTTAACTGTTTACTCAGGTGTGTTCAGGTAACTTTTTCAGGAGCATTCATAGGTAGCATCATTTCTTTGTCCTTGGATATCTGAGGTCCTCACCTTTGCACCATAGCTCAGCTGGACATAAGAATTCCTGGCTTATGTTATTTCTCCCTGAAAACTCAGTAGATTCTGCTGCATTGTCTACTGACCTTTAATTTTGCAGAGAAACTCTCTGAAACGACATTATTGTTTTTCCTTCTTCACAGGCTTCTTGTGTTCTCCCTGAGGCTGATATATTTATTCTTTTAGTTAGAATTCCAGTTGTTACAAGGTATGCTAGCACTAGTCTCTTGTTAATATTTTTTGCTGTGTAAGAAATGTTTATAGCACCGTTATTCACAGTAGCCAAGATATGGAAGCAACCTAAGCGTCCATCAACAGATGAATAGGTAAAGAAGATGTGGTGTGTATACATATACATACATACGCATATATATCTATATAGATATAGATATAGAGATATAGTACAATGGAATATTATTCAGCCATAAAAAAGAACAAAATTTTGCCATTTGCAACAAGGTGGATAGACTTGGAGGGCATTATGCTAAGTGAAATAATTCAGACAGAGAAAGACAAATACTGTATGATATCACTTAAATGTGGAATCTAAAAAAATGAAACTAGTGAATATAACAAAAAAGCAGACTCACAGGTATAGAGAGCAAACTAGTGGTTACCAGTGGGGAGGGGAAGTGGGCAGGATGGGGTAGGGGATTAAGAGGTACAAACTCTTACGTATAAAATAAGCTAAAAAGATACATTGTACAACACAGGGAATACAGCCAATATTTTACAATATCTATAAATGGAGTATAGACTTTAAAAACTGTGAATCACTATATTGCATACCTGTAACTTATATATATATATTGTGCAGCAACTGAACTTAAAAAAAAAAGAAAAAAAAGGGAAATGGTCTTCAGGTTTGCACACTCGGCAGCGGTGGGTTTTCTCCCTCCTGTGATAACTGACCCTGTTCTTGGCCCCTTCTGTGCTCTGGGTTCTGAATCTTGGCTTAGATCTCTTGCATCTGTCCCAGACTGTCTCTGATTTGTCCTTCTTTGTCTCTCTGCCCTCCTCTGAGGGCTGGGGCAGGGTCTTCACTGCCCTGTCTGTCCCCCTTGTTTTGATTCCCAGCCTGTGTTCAGTCTCTGGGTCTCACCGCCTCACGTGGGCTGTTTCCTCCTCGTTGTCACCTCCTCTGTGCTCCTGGATGTTTCTTGAAAATACAAAGTAGATACTTTCTACATTTTCTCCTGTCTTTCATTAGGTTTATTTTGACCAGAAAGGGCCTTTTCGTGTGCCTCTGGTGTTTCCCTGCTTGCTCACCCTTAGCAACAGAGGACCTCACTTTTGTGGGTGGGCGAAACACAGACGTCGGGTGAGTCCACAGCTCAGGCTCATGTGAAGGCGGAAGGGCGGCGTTTGGACAGGCTGCGGCTTTCCTTTGCTGGTCAGACCCCTGGGAGCTGAGTGGGGGAGGGGCAGCAGCCGAGGCAGCCGTGCCCACGAGGGGCTCCGTCCTGTCCTGGGCTCGTCTTGGGAACTATAGCAGCAGGAGCCTCTCTTCTCTTTCTAGCCCCTGAGCTGGTGTGACCTGTGCCATTGTGACCCCAGGGGGGTGTGGCTGGACTCCAGACCCGCCTTAATCTTATCTCTTTGCATATAGACTGTTTTCAGTATAAAAACACAGTAACGTTGCCATAGACATCTTCATGGGTATAGCTTTGTATTTCACTTAAAAGATTTCCTCAGGATGGCGTCCTTTTATTTTGAGAGAAAAAGGCAGGGGTGTTTTTTTGTAGGTCAGTGACCATAAATATGACACCAAATTATTTTACAAAAATCTTACGCTCATTTGCTCTGCCAGCAGCCGTAAATAAATAACTGCGGTTTCGTTTTATCCTAAATAGAGTTGGGCATCATAAAACAAATCGTAGATGCTAGTTGAGAATGTATTGTTGAGACGGAAGTGTGAGCAGGCGTCTTGTTTAGTCAGTGTATACTGGGGACGTCTGTTGCCTGTGAGAGTGACCTATACACTGAGGACACCACGGTGACCACGTGGACAGCACCTGACGGAAAGAGTCTGGGGGGAGGGCCTTGGGATCGTCACCGTATCCGGGTAGGTGGCCTTGGAAGATCTCCGCTCTGATGGCTGAGCCGCACACAACGCTGGTCTCGTTGTAGCAGCCACAGCGCTGAAGAACCTTCCTAATGCAACAGGGCTGAGCTAGAGATGTACCCAAATCTTCTTTATCTTGCAGGCAAATCGTACTTTTGATTTTGTGGACAAGCTGAAGACTTTATCTGAAACACTGCTGAGCTTGTCCAGTGTTTTTCAGAGCAGCAGAAATGGTCAGATGCTCCGTCAACTGCAGGTGAGGGAGGGGTGACCCCTTTGCCACCGAGGGCTGGGGGAGCCCACGCTCAGGTGCGTCTGCAAAACCAGAGTGGTCCTTTAGAGGACTCTGCAGAGCCACCTGGGGCGTGGCTTGCCCAGTTGACTGGTAATGTTGACGTAAAATTGGATGTGTGTGAAAACTTTTTGTAAGTGATCAGTTGTTTTGCCCATGCAAGATGTTACTATTGTGGGAATGATCAATAATTCATTAGTATTTATTTGTGCTTTAAATTCCATGTTAAATTAAAGCTTTTTGGGGTGGTTTTTTTTGGGTGCTTTTCAACTGTGGGTCTATTAAAACAATTATCATTCCCCAATATTCTGTACTGACAATGTAATATATTCCAAAATACGTGGGCTGTGGTTTCAAATGGCCTGACTTCTTCTCAGCAGGACAGTCATTAGTTACAAAACTTTCATCAAGGTAGATCACATGAGAACCTTTTGGGGCATCTGTGTAACTCTGGCTTAACCTGCGTCTGATAGCATGAGAAAATACAACTACATTTTTATTCTTGTTTGGCTTATTTTTAATCCACTGACCAAGTAGTTCAAGGTGCTTCCGAGCAGGGACTCAGAGCCAGATGGTCTGGGTTTGATTCCCAGCCCTGCCCCCACTGCTGTGTGATCTTGAGCTGGTCACTGAACTTCTCTGTGCCTTGGGCTTCTTACCTTTGAAGTGAGGAAATAACCATAGTTATGAGCTGTAAATTGACTTAAATTATGTAAAGCACTTGGAATAGTGTTTGGTACGTAGGAGATGCTTCTGTGTCTGGGTCCTCCCAAAAGCAGACACCGAGATGAGGTTACATGTGTGAGAATTTTGTCAGGGAAAGAGCTGTTGGAGCCGAGGCTGGGGAAGCCGGGGAGGCCAGGGAGGTCTGGTCCTGAAGGGACGGGGGGTGGAGTGGGGGCTGGGTGGAAACATCCCACAGGGCCCTGCATTTAGAGGACACATCTCATCCAGCTGAAGTCGGGTATCATGGGGGATCCTCTGTCAGGGAGCCGTGGCTCCTAGGAGTGGCCTCGGCGTGGTCACGGCTAAGAGCAGCCTGGGAGGTGTGGCCTCCGGGCAAACTGAGATGGATTTCAGAGCACAGCAGAGGGCCTTGGATGTTGCCGTTCCTGGAGCTGGGAGTCTGGGATGCTCATTCTCATGGTGGCCATGGCTATTATTGTTGTTCTTCTTCTTTAATTTGTTTGCTCACCAGTTAATTTGCTGATACAGGGATCAGCAGGCGTTTTCTGTAATGAATCAGTTGGTAAATAGTTCAGGCTTTGAAAAGGGGACTGCTGTAACTACAGATAATTGTATGCAGTATAATAAGCAGCAGGTTGAGTCTCTACAAAGTAGTGTGAGAACGTAACAGTGCCTAACTCCGTCTCAAGAATCAGGTGGTTAGTGGGAAGAAGGATAAATTAGGAGTTTGGGATTAACAGATGCACACTGATATATATCTAACAGATAACCAACAAGGATCTACTGTGTAGAACGAGGAACTATACTCCATATCTTGTAATAACCTATAATGGAAAAGAGTCTGAAAACGAATATATATATATGAATCACTTTGCTGTACACCTGAAACTAACACAACATTGTAAATCAAACATATTGATACTTCGATAAAAAAAAGAAGCAGGTGGTTTCTTGGAGAAGTCTTCAGTTTAGCTGAGTGCTGTTTACCAAGTAGTCAAGTTAGAAATTAAAGCCGCTTATTCAATCACTTGAAGAACTTTTTACTTAGAGAATGAATTGTGGTGAGTGGCTCTATTTCTTAGCCTCGAGATCACATTCAAGAGTATCTGTAGTGCCCTTGGATTTGCGGTAACTGGTGCCTGGGCTCTAGGTCGGGCTCTGCCCGCAGGGGGCTAGATTAGTATTTCACTGATGCCGGCGACCCTGACTTACTTTTTCCTTCAGTTAAAAGCATCTTTCCATGGAGATGTTGCCGAGGTTAAATGACTAATGCATATGAAGTGCATCACATAATGTTGGGCAAGTAGCTAGTGCCCAGTGAAAGAAGAAAAATAAGATTTAAAAAAATCAGACACTGAGGTTTCATCATGAAATCTTGTCGTCTATAGACAAGAGTCAATAAAATCATCAGGTATCAGGGAGATGTGAGAAATAAAAGAGCTAAATGCAGAAGGTGGGTGTTATTGAAAATTCCTCATCAGAAGTCCCCAAGTTATACAGTTGTTTGGTAAAACAACTGTTTGCTGGGAAAACTGGACAGCTACGTGTAAAAGAATGAAATTAGAACAATTCCTAATACTGTACACAAAAATAAACTCAAAATGGATTAAAGATCTAAATGTAAGGCCAGACACTATAAAACGCACAGAGGAAAACATAGGAAGAACACATTCTGACATAAATCACAGCAAGATCTTTTTTGACCCACCTCCTAGAGTAATGAGAATAAAAACAAAAATAAACAAATGGGACCTAGTGAAACTTAAAACCTTTTGCACAGCAAAGGAAACCATAAACAAGATGAAAAGATGACCCTCAGAATGGGAGAAAATATTTGCAAACGAAGCAACTGACAAAGGATTAATCTCCAAAATATACAAACAGCTCTTGCAGCTCAATATCAAAAAAACAAACAACCCAATCAAAAAATGGATGGAAGACCTAAATAGGCATTTCTCCAAAGAAGACTACAGATGGCCAACAAACACATGAAAAGGTGCTCAACGTCACTAATTGTTAGAGAAATGCAAATCAAAACTACAGTGAGGTATCACCTCTCACCAGTCAGAATGGCCATCATCAGAAAATCTACAAACAATAAATGTTGGAGAGGGTGTGGAGGAAAGGGAACCCTCTTGCACTGCTGGTGGGAATGTAAATTGGTGCAGCCACTATGGAGAACAGTATGGAGATTCCTTAAAAAGCTAAAAGTAGAGCTACCATATGACCCAGCAGTCCCACTACTGGGCATATACCCTGAGAAGATAATTCAAAAGGATACATGTACCCCAGTGTTCATTGCAACACTATTTACAACAGCCAGGACATGGAATCAACCTAAATGTCCATCAGCAGATGAATGGATAAAGAAGATATGGTACATATATATGATGGAATATTACTCAGCCATAAAAAGGAACAAAGTTGTGCCATTTGCAGAGATGTGGATGGACCTAGAGTCTGTCATATGGAGTGAAGTAAGACAGAAAGAGAAAAACAAATGCCATATGTTAACACATATATGTGGAATCTGAAAAAAATGGTATAGATGATCTTGTTTACAAAGGAGAAATAGAGACACAGACATAGAGAACAAACGTATGGATACCAAGGGGGAAGGGGGAGATTGGGTTGAGTTGGGAGATTGGGATTGACCTATATACAATATTGATACTATGTGTAAGGTAGATAACTAGTGAGAACCTACTGTACAGCACAGAGAACTCTACTCAATGCTCTTTGGTGACCTAAAGGGAGTGAAGATATATATATATATATATATATATATATATATATATATAGAGAGAGAGAGAGAGAGAGAGAGAGAGAGAGAGCTGATTCACTTTGCTGACCAGCAGAAACTAACACAACATTGTAAAGCAGCTATACTCCAATAAAAACTAAAAGAAAAAGAGATCCCCCCTTTGCTTAATCCTGGCATTGGCCCCACTGCATCTGTGTTCCACCCTCAGTAGGTTGTTGCTTGTTGTAGGTACGTGGCAGCACACTGCGGGTGTATGTGTGCCAGCTGCAGAATTAGTATGCAAGGTGCCATCAAGCTGATGGGAGTAATCTTGGAGAACCTTCCACAGTGCAGCCTTTGACAGATGAGGTGGAATTGAACCATCAATAGTGAAAGAAGAAAGATACAGATGATGATATGAAACATGCTTCCAAAGATAAGGCTTTGAATACTGCACGTTTAAGAGAGGGTGTGGGAAAATGCTGAACCTTTCATCAGTGTTCTTGTAACAGTGACCCCCTCTTTATAACCGGCCCACAGAAAAGGCAATATAAAAGATTTATGTAAAGGGTCACCATATAGTTCTATTAGAAAGTTTTACCAAAAAATCAACACTTAATTCATTCTTTGTTTTCAGTATTAGTGCATATTTATTCATACAATTATATCCCCAATTGTTTACTTTTGTTTTTCAAGATAAAGTCCTAAGCAAATGTAATCCTATTTACTGGGATGTTTTAGAACCTCTTTGCACTTTTTGTGCCTTTTTCCTGTATCATGAAACTTGGAATAAACCTAACAAGTATTATTCAACAAGAGGAATGGTGAGATTAGTTTTGTTAAACTACATTATGTTCCTTTAGGAAGCCCTGAAAAACAAATTTATAAGAAGCCTTTGTAGAAAGCCAGCTGCACATTGATGTAGACAAATGGACGGAAAAGCTCCAGACACTCGGTAAGTGCAGCGGGCGTTGTGGTGGATCCATCATCAGGCCATGAAGTTTCTAGGTGACACTGATGAGTCACTGCTTCCTCCCCCAGTTTCTGGTTTCTTGTCTTTGAGATGCAGAGCTTGAGTTAAATATACTCCCCAAGTTTGTTCATAACTGAAGTTTTCTGATTTGCTGACTCAGGGCTCTAATAGTAAGGAACTTAGTTAAAAAGGAAGGCCTTTGATGTAAATACAGGAATTGTGAGTTATAACACAATTTTATAAAAGAAATTGCTATCATTGAGTTAATAGTCAATTGAAAGCAGTTAATTGATTTGAAGATCTGAAACTTAGATAAAAAAAATTCATCAATCAGCAAATGTTTATCGCATGTTTGTAGTATATTAATCGGTGACTTCATTTAGATGTTCAACAACCATTTTCTGAACACGCAGGAGAGTCAGGCTCTGAGCGAGAATCTGGAGACCCCCAGCCCCCGTGTGGTGGTTTGGCAGGCGCGTCCCAGGGATTCTTCCAGGGGGCTAGGCCAGAGGGATGGCAGAATGGAAGAAAGAAAGAGCTCCGGGAGGGAAGGAAGGGTGTCAGGCCATCTGAGGCCCCCGGCACCTGCCACTGTGCCTGCACCCAGGGCGAGGGCTGGCGTCTGCTTGGAGCACGAGGGTTAGTGGAGGGCAAGGTGATATATTAGGCACAATACTTCCCTTTATGAAAAAAAATTTTCTGGCGAATTTACTACTTTAGAAAGTTTAATAGTATTTTAAAATAAATGTTACTGGGCTTCCCTGGTGGTGCAGTGGTTGAAAGTCCGCCTGCCGATGCAGGGGACGCGGGTTTGTGCCCCGGTCTGGGAGGATCCCACATGCCTCAGAGCGGCTGGGCCCGTGAGCCATGGCCGCTGGGCCTGCGCGTCCGGAACCTGTGCTCCGCAACGGGAGAGGCCGCAGCGGTGAGAGCCCCGCGTACCGCAAAAATAAATAAATAAGTAAGTAAATAAATAAATAAATGTTACTGCCTTGAATGGTGTTTTCACGTAGTTAAAGCACACTTACAAACGCAGTAGTTCTGGAAAGCTCATTACAGCAGCGGCTGCATCCTGAGCTGTGGGGTGAGGACCAGAGGTTTCCTGTCGCGCCACAGAGGCTCTTATTACTCTGCACCTGCAGCCCCGCTGGCATGTCACCTCGGGGCCAGAGGGCCCAGGGATCCTCCAGCTCCTCGCTGAGAACGCACACCACCTTTGAACAGGTTTTCCCTCATGTAAACTTCTATTATAAAGTTGGCGGGAAAAACAGTAACAGAAATTCAGACACTGAGCTTTTCCTACAAATGTATCTGGACCCAGAGTGTGGGATTCAGATGGAATTTTGAGACCTGTGAGGTGTGATTTCTCACTGCCTCACCCAAGGTGAAGCCCCTCTTGTTGAGGTGGAGAATGATGGTCATCTTCCATCTGACTCTGCACAGCCCTCTGGGAGCAGGCCAGGTGTGAACACAGGCCTGTCCATGGCGCAGGTGTGCCGGGGGCTTGGGCACCCTCTAGATGCACGTCTCCTTTTGTAACTCCCTGGTTAAAGAGTTAACTCACCTTACTCTGGGCATCCTTCTGAAATTGCCTATTCCTAGTCGCTGGAGACTGGGGCAGAATGACTACTTGAAGGTTCGTTAATGAGGTTCCTGGGAATGTTTACCCAATCATGCTTTTGTTTTTCTTGATTATTTAACTTTTAAAAAATAACTTTTTGCTTATTACAGAAGTAATTGTCTGTTATGGAAGTGATAGAAAATACAAATAAACCAGAAAAGCAATCTACCCATAATCTCATCCTCAGAGACAGTCATTGTAGAAGCCTTGGAGTAATTTTTCAGAAGTAATTATATGGCTTATATGAACTTAGGTGCATATATTTTTGTAAAAATGGTCGTACTGTCCATATCATTTTGTAAAGCTGTTCATAGAAATTGGCTCTGTTACTGAGGGTCCCTAGCGTGAACTGCTTTAAAGTTGTGTGACTGTTTCTTCTGGATTGGTTGCTACATCTTTGAACACTGTGCTTACACTAGTGTTTCTCGATCTATTCATTTTAGGGATAATCATTGATTTCTCCAGGTCATTTTCTCCGCCCCATGAAGGTTATGTGTCCATTTTAGTTACGTCGTGAAGCGTTGGGACTGGATACATGTCACCCAATGCAGAGCCACGTGGTACCTAGAATGAAATTTCCTTTTCCCAGGGTTCCCCTTCCCCAGAGATTCGTATTACCTTGTTCTCAGGTGTAACATTTGCTGTCCATTCGCCCACCCCTACCCCCAGTTTGTCAACATGTCCCCTTGACTTGGGGTCCTTTTGTTCATGCAGACACCCAGCCAGGCCCCCCCCTCCCCTCCCACTGGGCCGGCCTACCTCTGTGTCCGTCTCTTCTCCCACACTGGAGGCTACGTTTCCTACCTTCTCCATCCTCCCATTTTTCTTTATTACCATGTTTTCTTGCTTCATATTCAGAATTATGGAAAAGGGTGCGTGAGAGGAAAATTTCCTGAGTAATTTTACTCAGTAAATTCACTTTTATATCTGAAGGATATGTGAAAAACATTCCGTATTTCATTCTTGATAAATTTAATTTGTGTTTTCTGTCTCTCCCCTTTTTTGGTCAGAGAATTATCAATTTTATTAGTCTTTTCAAAAAAATGAATATTTGGCTTTGTTGTTTCTTTTTTATGTTTGCTTTCTATTTCATTGATTTCTGCTTTTTTCTTTATTGGTTCTTGCCTTTTACTTTCTTTGGTTTGTCACCTCCCCCTGCTCTTTTTTTGGTAAGTTCTTGGGATAGATACTTAGATGATTGATTTCTACCTTTTCTTCTTTCTCATGTATTTAAATTTATACTTGTATGTATTCATGACCCTTCTTTTCCCTCTGAGCATTGCCTTAACTGCATCTCACAGGTTTTCATATGTTCTGTTTTCATTATCATTCAGTGAAGTGTAATTCTTTTGATTCTCTAATTATTTGAAATTTTATAGCTTAATTTAGAAGTATTTGGGATTTTCCGTTTATCTTTGTGTTACTTCTAGCTTTAGGTCTCAGTGGTCAGAGAATGTACAGTCAGTATGATTTCATTTATTTGAAATTTGTTAACGTCCCACATGGTCAGCTTTGCATCCTGCGTGTAGCGGTTCTAGGTTGGAGGGTGCATCTCCTCTGTATCCGTGCTGATTTTTGTGTGCCTGTTGTATCAGTTATTAGAAGTGTGTGTTTTTATTTCCTATTTTGATTGTGGATTTGTCTGTTTCTCTTTAATTCTGTCAGTTGAGGCTTTAGTTGTTTTGAGGCTGTATTTTATTTTCTACTGAGAACATGAGATATTTATATTTTCTTCTGTATTTAAAATTTTTCTTTTTTCTCCCCACAGCATCTCACTCTGACTTACTGAGGTGTGTTTTCCATCACGAGTTTCCCGCTTTGGTTTTCCAGCACTTCTTGAATCAGTGTCTTGATATCTTACATTTTGGGAAAGTCTTGGTCATTATCTCTTAAAATATTACTTCTGATCTGTTCTCTCTCCATTCTCCTCTGAAATTCCAGTTAAACACGATAAAATTTCCGTGTGCATATGCTGGTTATATCCTATTCTCTTGTTTTCCCATCTTTTTCTTTCTCTCTGTGCTTCAGTTTGGCATATTTTTTTCTTACCTTTTAAAAAATCCACTAATTATCTCCTCAGCTGAGAGTTTTTCATTTCAGTTATCACATTTCCCAATCTAAGCTTATAATTCGATTCTTTTAAAAAATAGTTTTCAGTTCTCTGCTGAAATTCTCCCTATTTTCATCTAACTTTCGGTAATTGTGTTCAAAGATTTCTGATGTGCATATTTTTAACTGCAATATTAATCATATTTAATAATTCAGAAATACCAATCATATTTTCATTGACTACCAGACGTTGTGTATGAAAATTGTAGAAATAAATTTTTCTTCCTTGATGGTGCTGTTTTCCTCTTGATGCTGTGTTTCTGCTCCCTGCAGAGAGCTAGGCTGGGACCGCGTCCTTGAATCTGATCAGAGGCTGAGTTGATTGATGGAGGTTCAGTCTTACTGGGAGCTTTTCCTCTGCTGCTGTAGTCCTGTCAGGGTGAGGAGGGGTCTCAGATAAAACTGGGGTGTTTCCTAGACCCTCACACCCGAGTCCCTGAACTCAGGCCCTGCAGGACCCAGTAGGCTCAGGTTCTCCATCCTTAGGATCCCACGTACCAGACTCCTGTGCCCTCTCCTGAGGGCCTCAGACCGTCAAGCCCTTGTAGCCTTGGTAGCTGTTGGAAGCTTTCACACAGATTAAAAAAAGTCATCCACAATTTCTAGCTGTGTGTCTTCAGCAAGTTGTCCATCATTCTGACTTGAATAACGGATCTTTTAAGTCTGCAGATAGTCTTCTTCCACGTATCAGGTATTTTCCTGTCATTTCCTTGAATTTCTCACCTGTATTAAAAAAATGTCATCTCTACCTTTAGGTTCAATTTTTGATCATTGTTTTTTATTTTTATTTTTTTAACATCTTTATTGGAGTATAATTGCTTTACAATGAAGTGTTAGTTTCCGCTTTATAACAAAGTGAATCAGTTATACATATACATGTATCCCCATATCCCCTCCCTCTTGCGTCTCCCCCCCACCCTCCCTATCCCATGCCTCTAGGTGGTCACAAAGCACCGAGCTGATCTCCCTGTGCTATGCGGCTGCTTCCCACTAGCTTTCTATCTTACATTTGGTAGTGTATATATGTCAATGCTACTCTTTCACCTCGCCTCAGCTTACCCTTCCCCCTCCCCGTGTCCTCAAGTCCATTCTCTACGTCTGCGTCTTTATTCCTGTCCTGCGCCTAGGTTCTTCAGAACCATTTTTTAAAAAATTCCGTATATATGTGTTAGCATATGGTATTTGTTTTTCTCTTTCTGACTTACTTCACTCTGTATGACAGACTCTAGGTCCATCTGCCTCACTACAAATA